AATCTCTTTTTTTCTTCGGAAATTGGGTGGGTGTGCACTTACTTGGCGATTCACTTGAATCTCTTTCAAAAAAAAGGGCAAAAGTACTTCTAGAGTGACCAAGTAAAAGGCTCCTTTTTCTTGTTCAAAGCACTTTTCCCTTTTCAAACACCTCAGAATGATTAAAAGTGCTGTTTTTTGTCTTTTTCTGTTCAGAGATCATTGTTGAGTGTTCTTTTTCGTACTTTCTTTTAAACATTTACTATCTAGCGCACTGCTGGCTATCTATCTAGCTATCTATCTAGGCATTTGCCTAAATCATAAGCTCTTTCTTTGAAGATCCCTTCTGAATAGCTTTTCTAAATTTTTTCAAACATTTCGTATCTAATGCACCATTGAAATCTTGCCTAAGCCTTGCTTCTAAAAGAAAAACTTCTTCTAAACTTCTAAGCTTCTAAGCTTCTAAGCTTCTAAAGCTTCTAAACTTCTAAACTTCTAAACTTCTTCGTAAACGCACTCCTTCTAGTGCAATGGATTTTCAAGAAATCTTGTCAAAGAAGAGCTTTTGATTGTGTTTTTTCAAAAATTAACTCTCCAAAAAAAAAGAAACCAAAAATTTCTTTGAAATAAGCGTTCAAAAATCGGAAAAGAAATCCCTTTTTAGGCCAAAAAGCAAAGGGAATTCCCGTTTTCAAAAATCGCTCACTATAATCTTTTTTGGGAAAAAAATAATATTTTCGTATTGAAAAGATATTCGGTTGAATATAAATAAAGAATATCTTCATAAATGAAAATTGAATTCTTGATTTCAGTGCTCCAGGTGACGAACTTTTATAAAAAAAAAAAATTCCCGAAAAAACTACCTTTTTTTGTTATTGGAATATCCGTATCCGTATCTGAAAACCTGACTTTTTGCCCTGCTATTAACCAATCTGCAATTTACAAAAACATTATCCGTTTCAGTTTTTAGCTTTACATCTGTCTTCGTGTTCCTATTTCCACAGATCACAACCTGCTCCCAAAGCTATCTCTTGCTCTCTCTATCTCTTGCTATTGTCATCCAGTGTTTCCTATCTTGGATGTTCCTGATCTGGAGTCTTCGACTTGCTTGTGCTGGTGATGGTGGTTGCGCTCTAGCCTCTCTGACCGTTTCTGCCACTCTTGTGCCTCATCTCATTGCTGGTCTTCCGATTGGCCTCTTCTGGTCTCATGGCAGCCACTCAGTGATCCGTATAGTCCATCTAAGTCTTCTTTCGATCACTTCACTGGATCTCTGAGTTCCGGTTCTGATTCTGGTTCTGAGCTGACGCATGTCCGTACTTCTTCGGCCTTTTTCGAGCTGCGTCTTCCTATTGTGCCCTAGAAGGTTCTTTTCGAGAGCTCGGTGTGACGTTCTCAGAGCTCGTTCGGTGGTCTGCGTCGTGGCTCAGGTCTCTGTCCCATAGCAGAGTGCCGAGAGGACGGTGCTGTCGAAGAGGTGTGCCCGAGTCTTCTTGTGATTCTTGAGCATCTTAGTGACTTCTTCGATGCTTGCTTAGTGCTGTCCAGGCCGTTCTTCTTCTTCTGCCGACTTCCGCTCTTAGTTTCCCTCCATGTTGATGCTTCTTCCGAGTTAGGTGGTGACTTCTTCGAGTTCGAATTTCTGAAAAAAAAATAGTTATAGAAAATTGACTGCAACCCGATCAGAAAGCCCCTTGAAATTCTTCAATTTCCCATTCCCATTCTTTATCAAACACCCATGAATGTACAAACATCTCTATAAACCCTCATTTCTATCAAATAAACACTCGTTGAGTGTTTTCTTTCTTTTCTTTCTTTTCAATCCCCTCCCCCACTCAAATTGTGTTCGTTTTGATCTAAAAAATTGGCTTTTCTTTTCAATTCATTCTGACAAACACTGATTTTATCTCGCAAAAACGATTTCCCGACACCTTTTATTCTTTTTTTTTCTTTTTTTATTTTCCGATCCCCTCGTTATCACCTGTTTCATCAAAATTTTCAAAGTTCCACACTTGCTTCTTGAAATTTTAGATCTTCTTCAAAACTTTTTATATGCTATTGAAATTTATATTATATATATATATTGATACTTTATTCAGGACATGAAATAAAGCGTAATCAGTCAGACAATACACAAATCTACACATAAATACATAGAGAAAGATGAGATATTTTACTCGGCGATGTGGAGGCGGGGAGAAAAGAAGATAGATAGAAGATAGGCTTCTTGCTTTAATAACCTCAAGCCATGAATGGGCCAACCCAGTGGAAGAGTGAACTCCGCTAGAGAAGGGATCTCTAGTCAGCTCTAGAGAAGAGACCTCTAGTCTGGGCGCACGGGCTAGGGAAGAGAACCCTAGGGGGGCCGAACCCCACACCCTCAGTTTGGAAGTGAGAACTTAACCAATACACCATGAGGGCCCCTATACACCATGAGGGCCCCTTACACCATGAGGGCCCCTATATTAGCTGTTTTAACTGGATGCTATTAGGTTGTCTCATAAAAACCCAGAGATTTTAAATTTCATTCTTTTTAACACAGAAATTCATCTGGAAAATATATGATTTGATTCGGATTCTTCGCTTTTTCTAACTTTTCTCCAAAAGTAGCTTGCCAATCCAGTTCGTAAAACCCAAGCGAGCGCTAGCGAAAATAGTCGTCCCCGATCAGTTCGTTCAATTGCTTCAATCCGTTCTCGAGTTCGCTCTCATCTTTGAACTCTTTGAAATCCTTTAGCGACAAGAACAAGTGATAGGGGCAATGTCTAGAGAATATAGTGCATGAGGAAGGATATTCTCGTGTAGGTTGTTCTTCACAAAATCGATCGATCTTTTTGATTTGTGGGAGCTTGCGCCATCCTGATTGGTCGTCATTTTTTAAGATTTCTTCCGGTTTTTTTGCCTGATCTTTGCAAAATTGTTTTAAAGTTTCAAAATCGCAAAAAGTTTCGCCTTTCAATCATTTTTCCGTGAAAATTTCCTCAATTTTCTATATAGTCTGTAATTTTTCAAAAAAATTTCTGCAAAATTCATTTTCCAAATCGCTTTTCAACTTATTTTTTAATTTCTAAACCCAAGGGAATCAATTTTGAAAATGAACTACGCAAAAATGTTTCGGAATTAAAAATTTCTCAAAAAAATCTCAAATTCCATTCATTTTCTCTCAAAACTTGTCTAAAAATTTTGATTAGCTTTTTCTGTATTTAAAATAATTCGAAAAATTTGTTGCTTTTTTCCTTTTTATCTTTTTTTATTTCCTTTTATCAAAAATTTTTCTTTTTGGAGTCCCAAAGTGCCAATTTTTTTTCTTCAATTTGCCCAAAACGAAACAAATGTCAAAACTTTTTTAGAGAAAAAACTAGGCAAAATTTTTGATTCAATTCTGATTCTGTATCGATAATCGATAATTTTGAAATTAAAAAACACTTTATTATACTCAAATATACGTATCCGAAAAGCTCAGATTCCTTTTTGCAAACTCTTAGCTGAATATTTTTAAAAATTACTTTAAACCTCACGTTTTTCTCTCAATTAGGTCCAAATTGATGTAGCAGTGGATTAAAATTCAGTAGCTCAGAATTTGTCCAAATTTTTCGTTTGCAAAGAGGCGTTTACACAAATTTGAGCACACTTGCTCCTAAATGCTTAATTTTATATATTTCAGTCTAAATGTTCAAATTAAATGCTTATAGAAGTTTAAATGGTCAAATTAAATGTTTAATTTTGTATATATAAGTTTAAAATTATATATTTAAGTATCTAAATGTCCAAATTAAACTTGCTAACTTTTCCGAGAAAATCCTGGGTTGGCGCTTTAAAGCGTGGTAAAACTACCGTACCCCTCCAATTTACGGAAAATTTATTTTTTTCATTCTTGTTCATTTGATTTTATTCTTTTTGCCTTTTTTTTAACCTTTCAACGTTTCTTCAACTAAAAAGTCACAAAAACAAAGCCTCCGGCATAGAAAATGATAAAAACCACTTAACTTAACACTAGTTGGCATCAAATTCGTGAAATAGATCGTCGAGAAGCAAGTGGATCTAAAAAAACTCTTCAAACAAAGCTTCTGTCATAGAAAATTATAAAAATCACTTAACTTAACATTAGTTGGCATCATGTTTATGGAGTAGATCGTCGAGAAGCAAGTGGGTCTAAAAAAACTCTACAAACAAAGCTTCCGGCACAGAAAATGCAGTTAAAAACGTAACTTAACTTTATCCTCTTTGTTTCCCGCAAAAACAAACACGACCACATCAGAAAAATGCAAAAAGAATAAAATGAAATGAAGAAGAATGAAAAAAATGAAATTTCGCGCAAATTAGGAGGGGTACGGTAGTTTTACCACGCTTTAAAGCGCCAACCCAGGATTTTCTCGGAAAAGGTCGCAAGTCAAATTAAATGTTTCATTTTGTTTATTTAAGTTTAAATGTTTCATTTTGTTTATTTAAGTTTAAATTAAATGTTGAATTTTAAATATTTAAGTCTGAATGTTCAAATTAAACGTTTAATTGCATCAAACTATTCAAATTAAACGTTTAATTGCATCAAACTATTCAAATTAAACGTTTAATTGTATCAAACTATTCAAATTAAACGTTTAATTGTATCAAACTATTCAAATTAAACGTTTAATTTTGTATCAAACTATTTTTTGTCGAAAGAGACATTCGTCGAAAAGAAAAAAATGCAAATCTCACCTGTTTCCTCAACATTTTTATTTTGCAGGTGCATAGAAAAACGCATTTTATCCATGCATTTTATCCATTTTCCATTTTTATTTATGAAAAATCACAATGAATATCTTTTTCTATTCTGATTCGAAAAAATAATAGTTTCTTTTGTTTGAAAAGAAGTTGTTGCATAGTTCCCGGATTAAGAAAAGTTCTACTTTGTGGTTTTTTTGATAAAATTCCTTTCTTTCTTTATATTTTATATATTTTTCTTCATTATTTATGTTTTAGCTCTTATTTTTTCCCTTTTGCCCTTTTTTCGCCCTTTGATTTCAGTTTTCAATTTCAGAATGACAATTTTACGTCATCATGCGCCCAGCCACAGTCCGCCGCATTTCTATCTCAATCCCAATGCGCTAATCGGACTAAGAACGTGTCCTTTAGGGGGACAGGTATGTGGATAGATCTGATACAAAAAATACCGTATTTCTTCGAATAGAAGACCGGGTAAAGAGTATCATCGCGTACTCCTGCGTAGCAGCCCTTTTTAAAATTTCTTTTCTGCATAAAAGCTTTCAATTAAGTGCTATAGAGCTGGAAAATGGCTCAAAAATCTGTTAGCACATGTGGTATTTTTGAGTCATTTTCCAGCTTCCATTTTCCAGCTTTCCAAATCGAATAATAGCATACCGTAAATACTGTAATAGTACCCCACCCCCATAATGACGGTGCGGAGTGTTGCGTAGTCTAGCTTTGAACGAGTTTTTCTCGACACTGGTTTAATAATAATAATACTTTATTCAAACGATAAAGTGAAAGAAATCATAGAGAAATGCACAGTGATACTTAATCATACAATACATACTGAAATCAATAAGCCAATTACTTACGGCAAAGGGCCACTAGATCTAAAGCATCGATACGTTTCTTGAATATGAAAAGCGACTGAATTTCTCGTATGTCGTTTGGGAGCAAGTTCCATAATCTAGCGGCTCTAACGGGAAATGAATTTGATAAAGAGGCATTGGAAGCAAGCTTCTACGCACTGCACTGACCTATGCACTCATGATTAGCCTACCGTAAATACTGTAATAGTACCCCACCCCCATAATGACGGTGCGGAGTGTTGCGTAGTCTAGCTTTGAACGAGTTTTTCTCGACACTGGTTTATGCTAAAATGCGCGCTTAGGTATCAAAAAATAGCTGAAATTTAGGACTATTTTTTGATACCAAAGACGGATTTTTTTGAAAGTACGGGTGCTTTGCAAAAAATGAAATACTAAAAAACTTTTGCGACTACGCGACTGTACGAGGGGGGTGGGGTACTATTACAGTATTTACGGTAATTATAAATGCTCTAGCATGATTATAAATGCTCTAGCATGATTATAAATGCTCTAGCATAAATCTAGCTCTTTATACTTAAGGTGCACTTTGTGCTGAATCTTGAAAACACACACACACACACTTTCTGGCACACTTTGATCCCTATTTTCCTGGAAAAACTGATCCGTTTTGGCTGTCTAAGGTAATTGTCTGTCTAAAACTGTCTAATGTAATTTCCAGTAGCTCCATTTAGCTTCTTTCGGTTTATAGACACTTTAAAACATCAAGAAATTGGTTTCAGTGCTTTGACAAAAAAGCGAAACGGTTTTGTGAATCGAGTGCATTAAAAAGTGCATTAAAAAGAATGCGTTTACAGATTTAAGCACAAAGTACACTTCAGCCGTGGAAAATCAAACGATTTTCTTTTTTCAGAGTGGTGATTTCGGTTGGTTCGGTCTGCAATCTCTGATCACTCTTCTCAATCTCTCAGCCATCGTCACCAACATTTTCTTCATCTTCATTTGTGGGGTCAGTTCTTTTTCTAACTAAAAAATTGACAAATTAACTGTTTCAATGATTTTTCTCCTTGTAACAAGCGGGTTCAAAAAGAAAAATAAAAATATAAATAGAAATTGGAGAATTAGTCAAGAGCAAGAGTTGAAAAAAAGGTTAATCGTTGGGTTCAAAAGGTGTTTTAAAAGTAGATTTGAACAAAGTACGATAGAACAAAGTAAGATAGAAGAAAGTACGATAGAACAAAGTACGATAGAACAAAGTACGATGCAAAACAAAGTACGATAGAAAAAAGTATGAATCAATGAATAAAAATAAACTATGTTCTTACGAAGAAATGAAATTTAGTGTAGTAAAAGGCAAAATTTGGAAAATTGGGGGTTAAATTTATGGCTAAAGTACTTTCAACACCTATGAACGTTGGAAGTTGTTTTAAGGGCAATTTCTCTGGACCAGGCCGGGCTAGGATCAGCCTAGAAGCCAGGTTCTGGCCTGGACTAGCCCACAAAAATCACCTAAAGCCAAAAGTCACCTAAAGGCCAGCCTAGCCTATTGTAGGACGTTTAGTACGCGCCCCGCCTCCTCTGCCATTGGCAATCTAAGTTTGAGCTCAAATATCTTGGTGTTGGGCTGTTCAATTTGAATATTCTTGGTATCATTAGATGCGCCAAGTCTTTCTCTGTCGATTGGTACAAAAACTATTAAATTGGAGAAGCCGAACACTAAGATATTTGAGGTTAAAGTTAGATTGCCAATGGCAAAAGGGACGGGGCGGGGCGTATAAAAGGCGCCCCGCCACCTTTGCCATTGGCTTAGGCTTAGGCTTAGGCTTTACTTGGGCTTGGTTTCGGTTTGTCTTTGGCCAGACTTTGGCTTGGTTTTAGCTTGGCTTTGGCTTTGGTTTTTTGGGGCAACTAGTAGAATTCATGCCTTCATGCAGAGGAAAAAGACAATCTAACTTTGAGCTCAAATATCTTGGTGTTGGGCTGTTCAATTTGAATATTCTTGGTATCATTAGATGCGCCAAGTCTTTCTCTGTCGATTGGTACAAAAATTGTCTAAATTGGACAGCCCTACGCCGAGATATTTGAGTTCAAAGTTAGACTGCCAATGGCAAAGAGGGCGGATCAAATGTCCCACAATGCCGGAAAAATGGTTTAACTTGAGTAATTGAACCGGCGCTTGCATTCATTTGTTTTTTTAAATCACTCAACTGAATATCTTTTGCAAAATTCTCGGGTTCAAAGTAACGATTCTGAGAATAAAATTTCCCCAAATCGCAACATTGGAATTAATCTTTTTTTCCCGAAAATTCCCGTTGATGGATGAAAATTTCGAAATTGACAATAGTAATAATGACTTAGTTCCAATTTTTTTTCTCACTTTTGCCCAATTTTTGCCATTGTTATCCACCGGAGAATTGAGAAAATTGAAAATTTCATTATGTTTTTCGGGAAATTTCCAGGTGAACAATGCGCAAAAATTCCGGAAGAGATTACTTGAAAAAGGGGATACAAAAAGTATTCGAATGCCAAAACATTCTGCAAATGTTTGAAAGTACTCGTACACGACTTGTACTTTGTGCTCAAACCTGTAAACGATTTGTAAACGATTTGTAAACGATCTGTAAACGCACTTTTCTAGTGCACTGAAGTACTACACAAAAAACCCTGGTTTAATGAAGAAAATCCATATAATTCTTTTTCAGAAAGCCGGTGTGATGCCCCGTCAAACGCGTCTAATGCTTTGTTCGATTTCAATCTGTTTTGCTGTGAATGCTTTTGCCGGTCTTCTCTACAATGCATATTTCTTCTATCTTGGCGTCAACACGTTTCCCAGATTTCCCGAAAAGAGGTAAGAATCGGATTTGAGCATTTCGAAGCGTAGTCATACAGCTTTTCGACTGTTTTTCAATTGAGCTTTAAGCTGAAGTAAGTAAAAAAAAAGTATCGAAAAATATTGTGCTGTGAAAAGAGCTGTGCGGAGATGCTTTCTTTATGATTGATCCTGTGGTGATGGGCATGGTGGGGGTGACGTTTGGGCATGGTGGGGTGGCGCGAGTTGGGGTGACGTCAAAACGGTGAGGCTGGCTCAGTCGCTCACCGCTTTTCCCTCTTTACCGATTGCAAAAGGGAACAGCTATCTATCGGGGCCGTTTGCCAGATCGCGAGCGATTACGCGGCCGCACAAAGAATACCTCACTAGTCATTTACGAATTTTTCTTTTGCTTTTTAGATGGTACAAAAAGATATTCAGCTGGAAATTTTTACCCGGGGGGTTTTCGTGGTCGGGGAATCGATTGGTGATATTCATTTTACTAAGTTGATCAATTAGAACTCAGTTTAATTGGTCTAAACTTTTCGATAAATTCGGAAACTTAGCCTATCTTGGAGAGGAGCGAGAAGCTGAGAAGAGAAGCTCAAATGATAAATAATAAGCATAGAAACAGATAAGTCTGTTTATATAATAATATAGATAATAGCCTAGATAATAGCCTAGATAATAGCCTAGATAATAAGCGGGCTTCTTGAGAACCAAAGCCAACTCTGAACTTGGTAGTTCAATCAAGTTGTATTTGGTGCTAAAGGGTAGGGATTATAGTATTGAGCAGGGTTTAAGGTGCTTTAAGTGGAATATTATTATCAAAAACAATTCAGTGTCCTCTGCACTGTAGCCAATGTGTTGATGGTTCCATGGGATACAGCGACAGTCCTTTTGATGATCGGAGTTGGCGCGGAGAGATTCGCCGCCACTCGACACCCACTTCCACCAGCAAAAGTCTCGTTGTTTGTAAAGGTACGTACTAGGTAAAACAATTCTCTAGTTTCTAGTTCAAATCTAAACTATAATATGCAAAGCTTTGCATTTTTAGGCAATCTTTGCGCTCGCTTGCTCGGCATCCGGCTTTGTCACCGTTGAATATCTTCTGAATCTGCAGTAAGCTTTCAAATCTTCTGAGAGACTGAGAGAAAAACCTATTCTAATTCGATTAGCAAGTAGTGTTTTTACAATAAAACAAAATTCGACATTCTGAAGTCCACTTTTTCCAATTAGAATCTCCCTTGGCCTTACAAAAAACTGAAAATCAATATAAAACTCTTTCAGCACCGAGGGAATGTGTGTCTGTGATGGAGCCTCGCTGGCTGATAGCCATGCAATGATGATTCGGATTTCGGTGTGCGCTCTGTTCGAGGTGAGCCGAACAAATAGCCTTTACCTTGCCTGACCTAGCTTTACTGCAGGTGTGACCTTGAATTTAGGCTAATCGTCAGTGCTACCAGGCTTAGGCTAATCATCAGTGTTGCCAGGCTTGGGCTAATCGTCAGTGCTGCCAGGCATACCGTAAATACTGTAATAGTACCCCACCCCCCTCGTACAGTCGCGTAGTCGCAAAAGTTTTTTAGTATTTCATTTTTTGCAAAGCACTCGTACTTCCAAAAAATGCGTCTTTGGTATCAAAAAATAGCCCTGAATTTCAGCTATTTTTTGATACCTAAGCGCGCATTGTAGCATAAACCAGTGTCGAGAAAAACGCGTTCAAAGCTAGACTACGCAACACTCCGCACCGTCATTATGGGGGTGGGGTACTATTACAGTATTTACGGTAGGCTAATCATGAGTGCATAGGTCAGTGCAGTGCGTAGAAGCTTGACCGTTGCAGAATCCTTATCAGTTACTCGAGCTCTCGAGCTCCCACCTCCAGCTATTGAGTTTCCAAACTTTCCACGCTGCTAATGCGCATTGGAATGAAACTTTTCCAGGCTGCAACAATCTCCCTCTTTGGCTATGTGATGGTTTATAGTCGGAGTCGAGCCGACGGTTTGGGGATAAATACGGCCAAGTATTCGCTCAGCAAACGATTTCAGGCAAGTCATTATAGTAATTTCCGGTTACACCTTCTCACACATCATTCTGGTTGTGTCGCGCTTGCATTTTCACAAAATTTACCGTATTTCTTCGAATAGAAGACCGGGTAAAGAGAGAGTATCATCGCGTACTCCTGCGTAGCAGCCCTTTTTAAAATTTCTTTTCTGCATAAAAGCTTTCAATTAAGTGCTATAGAGCTGGAAAATGGCTCAAAAATCTGTTAGCTCATGTGGTATTTTTGAGTCATTTTCCAGCACTTCATTGAAAGCTTTTATGCAGAAAAGAAATTTTAAAAAGGGCTGCTACGCAGGAGTACGCGATGATACTCTTTATCCGGTCTTCTATTCGAAGAAATACGGTAAATGCTAAGATATTCAATGCTAAGACTCGTTTCTAGATTCACGAAACCTTCCGCACAACGCAAATGCTTTTGCCTTCCGTTGTCCTCCATGCTGTTCTCTATTTATCGTATCTTCTGCTACTTTTCCCGGTCAGAGATTGGAGGTGATTTTTTTCGTTTACAATTTTCCAAATGATTCTATTCTACAAAATCAAAAAGCTTACTTGAATTTCGATTATCCAGAGCCTCATCGATCAACACCATTTCCGCGTACAACTACTCGACAATCATCTTCGCGTTTCCCTCAATGCACGCTCTCGCTCATCCATTGGTAAGGAAATTTCGCAATTTGTGCATCCATTTGACGAATAAAATAAAATCCATTCCCTAAAACGTGTCCCCTTTCTCTTTCGACCGTAATCTACCGTAATCTACCGTAATCTACCGTAATCTATCGCAATCTACCGTAATCTAACAGTATATCTATCATTTTTACCATCTTTTCTTCAGATTTGCATCCTCCAACACTACTATCTTCGCCAGCGAACCCTTGACATTTTCGATCAACTTTGGTGTTGTTCAAGGTAAAGATCAGCAAAAATGTACCCTCACCTTTTCGGGATTCAATTTTCATATTAAATCTCGAATGGGTAGCAAGAGAATCATTTTTGCATACATGCGAACCGATCCTGTTAGAGAAAAAACAGCGACCGGATTAGAGGTATGCTCGGGGCGGGATCGAAACAGCGATGCGTGGAGCGGGAGCCCAAGCTGTTAGCCGCTAGGCTATCGAGGAGATTGGTGGACGGGGCGGAAAGGGGGTCTAAAGGAGCCCCAATAGCAATAAGTGCTATTGTATGAAGTTTCCCGGACTTCAACACAACTTTCTGGCTTCTAAATAAAGTGTAGATTTTTAGAATATTCACGGATCGATCGAACGATGACTGTCGACATTTGCAACCGACTCCCGATCCTCCATCGATTAGGTAAATAATGGAAAATTCTCTGCATATCGGTCAAATTTGCCATTGATTTGTTTGCCGTTCATAGTAGCAAGTGAAAGTTCACTTAAATCCCTTTTTTTAAATCTAAAATACCTTATCGTTTCTATTTTTAGAGAACGTGAGACTCCAGGTCGGGTTGAGTTCCGCATCGCGCCCGAGAAACACGCCGAGATTCTCGAGTCATTTTGGGATCGAAAATGAGATCGTGCATTAGAGCAAATCATGCATTAGAGCAAATCATGCATTAGAGCAAATCGTGCATTAGAAGCAAATCATGCATTAGAGCAAATCATGCATTAGAGCAAATCGTACATTAGAAGCAAATCATGCATTAGAGCAAATCATTGATTAGAAGCAAATCATGCATTAGAGCAAATCGTGCATTTCGTTATTACAAGTATAATTCCTAGAAAACTACCCCAAAAATCTCCACTCGTGTACTCTATTTACAGTGTATGTACATACATATCTCATTCGCATTTCAAATTGTTTTCTTCTCCGATATTTTCTTCATTCTCCGATCTCTATGTAAAGATTCGCGTGATTCGATAAAAAAAATAAAAATCTAAAATTGGATAAAATCTATTGGAATATGAAAAAACTCTTTTGTTTCCTTGTTTCCATTCGCTTTCATTCACTTTTTCATTCATTCATTGCTTTCAACACTCGAAAAACCCGTCACTTTAACAAGAATGGCAAAATAAGACAAAATAGGTAAACGAATGAACTTAACTGAACCACAAAAAGCAACTATAACCAACATTTGAGTTATCGTGCATTTTTGGTACTTGCCGATTATCTAAATCAAAAAAAAATATACAAATTGCACGATAATTCATCTAAAGATTCATCGAAAGAAGTGCACTTTAAACATAACAAAAATACTCTTCACTTTTTCAAACAATGTATCACATCGACCTGAATATCAACAGATTTCTTTTTGTGAAATTTGTAGGTGGCCGGCAATTCCCAGAGCATTTCGGCGAGACATTCGACCTGAAAAAAAAAAGAAACTGCAAGAAAAACTCAGTTTTGTATAGCTGAAGCCTGAAAAATGGGTGTTTAAGTCATAACTTTAAAGTTTTAAACGTGACTCAGGCTGATCTCTAGAGAATACTTAATAAGTATTTAAGCGAAAACTTGTCCTAACTAGCACAGAGGCTGTACTCGGTTTTGTAATGAGCCCAAGAAATAGTAGCTGGTATACTTGAAGCCTGAAAAACGAGTGTTTTAGTCATAACTTTCAAGATTCTCCGGTACTTTTGCTATTTTCTACATCATTTTCAATAAGACGACGCAAAACTTCTTATTCAAAGCAATAGTTTTTATTACAAAACCCTTCCAAAAGTAAAGAGAATGCAATTTTTCAAAAATAAACCTCTTGAACATCGTTAAACTCCTTTGCTTTCTTCAACACGAATCTCCTCGTGCTCGTCTTGTGTAGAGAGAAAATGTGACCACCGGGTCTCAACAAAGAAAGTCCGATTTGAAGAAATTGCATATCAAGACCTAAAACGAAATGATGAACGAAAAAAAAAACGTTTCCAAACCAGCATTGTTCTTCGTGCCAAATGGTGGATTTGTTATCACAATGTCGAATTTTTCCTTGCCGAAGAGTTGAGGTAATTTCGTGACATCGGCTTGGATGAGCTCACATCTAAACTGGAAAATTTGATTAGAACAACGCAAAGATTTTCCGGGTCCAAAATTCAAAATTTCAAAAATTTCTGCAAAAAGTTTCAAAAAAACAAAAATTCTTGGTGCCTCATGCTGGAATCGAACCAGCGACCTTCTGTTTACTAGACAGACGCTCTGCCACTGAGCCAATGAGGCGATAGTTTCAACGGTTTCTATTTGCCATATATTTACTTGATTGCCACCTATCACTTTGTATCTCAACTTTGAACACCTGTCAATCAGATTTGGCATTGCCGTGTTCTTCCAGTCGAGTTTTATTCTCTATTCGCTAGCATTTCCACACCGCCTCATTGGCTCAGTGGCAGAGCGTCTGTCTAGTAAACAGAAGGTCGCTGGTTCGATTCCAGCATGAGGCACCAAGAATTTTTTGAAACTTTTTGCTTTTTGCAAAACATTTTGTTAACAAAATAAAATTAGCCAGAGATTCTTTTAGAAAAGTTTTAAAAATTAAGTAACGATGTATCGTTACGTTGTGTGTTTTCAGAAAGTTTTGAAAAACCTAAACAAATCAACTAGCAAAAATTTGAAAGACAAAAATTTTGCTGGTGCCTCATGCTGGAATCGAACCAGCGACCTTCTGTTTACTAGACAGACGCTCTGCCACTGAGCCAATGAGGCGCTAAGACGAGGCTGGCCAATGGGAAATTTAGGGAAAAGAGATTGATCAGACGGTGTAAATGCAATGCAAATCTGATTGACAGGTGTTCAAATTGTGGCTATCGTGGAAATTGATTAAAAGAAACAAACAAACCTTCCCGAAAGTTCACTCGTCTCCAAATTTTCTCGACATATTCGAAGGGCATCATCGTCGATATCAACTCCTAAATAAAATTCATGATAACAAATCTAGAAAAACAAAATCTAGTTATTTTCTTTACAACTTACAAAGCTCAGTGAGTCATTAATAACACTTTTTAAGAAGTAATTGTTCAAAATTAGTACAGAATAGCGAGGCTGCCTTTCAGTATTACGCTGGACCAAACCGAAACAATATGTCGAGTAGACATGGCTAACGATATTTTGGGGTTGCTCCCGTTCGGACAGTCATATCGGCGCACTGAAAGTTGCTAGCAATCTGAAACTTTTTTGTATCAGAAAGCCAATATTATTCGCTTCATTTTGATACGAAAAATTCAGCAAAATTCTTTAAAATAGTACTCAAAAATCAAATTAAATCTTAAAATTACTACCCTTAACGAGACCTCGTTAAGGCCTCGTTAAGGCTTCGTTAAGGCTTCGTTAAGGCTTCGTTAAGGTCTCGTTAAGGCTTCGTTAAGGCTTCGTTAAGGTCTCGTTAAAGTCTCGTTAAGGCTTCGTTAAGGTCTCGTTAAAGTCTCGTTAAGGTCTCGTTAAGGACGGCCTCGTCAAGTATTGATAACCTTTTTAGAGTACTTTTTTTGAAGATTTTTGTTGAATGTTTGGTATCAAAATGAAGCTGATAATCTAGGCTTTCTGATAGAAAAAGTTTCAGATTGCTAGCAACTTTCAGTGCGCCGATATGACTGTCCGAACGGGAGCAGGTCAAAATTGAAGCGTCGTTAAGCCTCGTTAACAAGTCTAATGTCGAACTCGAGGTACTACATAAACTCCTACAGTAGATTGCTTTTCCAGAATCCTTTCATCATTTTACTAACCAGATTTGCCTTTATATTACCTAATGCAAAAGCTTGCCTCTATATTACTCTGGCTCATAATTTTATTGCCTAAGCCTGATACAAAAACCAAACCTAAACAATACGTAGAGCTGCAACTCGCCGCCATCGCCACCATTAACATCCCGCAGCCGCAACCCAGATCGAGCACTGATTTCCCTTCCAAACCGTTCGCCGTCGACGAGACGCATTCGACAAGGCACACTAAAACTAAAAGATAAAAGTGAATATGAGTATTCAAATACTGAAAATATTAAGAATTCAAGAGCTAGAAGGTCTTATTTATTTCTTATTTATTTTATAAATTTAACACGTTGACGACATTGTCACCTGATGCTGTCTGACACATATTCGTTCGCCTGGGACATTGTCACCTGATGTCAGGTGACATTTTTTGTCGAAAAAAAACAACGTTGTCCCATACGATTGTTTGTGCAAAAACGCCATTGTCGTCAACGTGTTAAAAAGTTCAATTTTAAATCCGATAAACCTGCCAACTCGGCCGAAGTCGCGTATTGCTCAAGTTGGATTTTTGGTTTTTCGAAATCTTTGAGCTCTTGTAGTAACCATTGCAATCGTTTTGGAGCCATCAGAGGGCTGTAAAATTTGCATTTAACTTATCCTAGTGTCAAATAGAAACCAATAATGCTACGAATTTTACCGTAGTCACTTTCTGTTTTGCATCAAACTTTATCATTTAAATAATTTGAAGCGTCCAATATTCTGACAAAAACTGTGTATTTTATTTGCATAAAACTTCTTTCCAAACCACTTTTATTACACATGACACTTTTGGCACCAATGAAAACAGAAGAAATCACAGATTTTCGTAAAATATTATGTTTAAAGTTAAAGTGTTTAAAGTATTATGCACAAAATAAAAAGAAATTATTAAATGCACAATGAAAAACAACAAAAGATGCTCAGACTTTTACCAGTATTTGCACTGATTATGTATGAAACAAAAACGATGGGAAAAGGCAAAAAGGTACCCAAAATTCGAAAAAAACCTTCTTAAAAACCATGAAGTGAACATTATTATGAAAGGCCTCACTTTGGATGTTTTGAGATAATTTTTGGGGCTTGAGTATTGCTGAATGGGAAAAGGCACATAGGAATGAGAAGAAAATTTTGTATGACAAAAATGATGACTAAAAGTTTAAAATGATAACGGATAGAAAGAAAAATTTGATAGCAATGCCTATAATTCGTCTTTAATTTGATTACTGCCGATGTAGTTTTGCACAACCTGAAAAGAGAAGGGTTGAAGTTGAAATAGTTGGCAAACACTTGGCCATTAATCACAGTCAACTTTCGCCAGGTTTTTTTTTGCTTTAGGCTAGTCCTAACAATGGATAAAGTTATTAAATATCGTAAATAACATGGATAATACTAAAGATATTCAGTGAAGAGGGTTCTTAAGGGTAATTGAGGTAAACTGGTCGTTGCTTAAACCTAACTTGATTTAAAACTTTGACCTGGGTGCTTTGGACTTAAAAATTTTTCTTTAGACAGACTAAATTAGAATTCACAGGTTATTAGCAGATAATAATCCCTATGAAATATCTTGGCTTTAAAATTTTCACCTGTATAATGTGATCCTTCACTTGTGATTGAATATCGATTCCCCAAAGGTCTTGTCGGCGACCATTTTGAGCGCCACGATATAGCCGAAGCGATGGGTAAGCTCGAATCTAAAATATGAAAATAAATTTCGGATCAATAATTTTAAATTATTCAACAAAATCTTTGGTCTAGGTACATCTTCAAAATAATACCCCGGCTCCTTGACAAACACCTGGCCATTGATCACAGTCAACTTTCGCCAATTGGACACGACCTTCTAGAGCCTAAAGAGAAAAGGGTATAAGATCATCAAGTTAAGTAGCTTAAAATAGGTAAGTAGCTTTTGAAATAAGTATTACCTTAGCAATCTGATCGAATATTGGAGCGAAACGCATACAAGGGCCACACCATGGAGCATAAAAATCAACAAGATACGGAGTTGTGGCATCCAGAACCTAAATTAACAATTGATGGCTTGCTTATCCTAAGGAAATTGATCTTACTTTTGATATCATTCAAACTTAACAAACCTCTGCATAAAACTCGTTGCCCATTTGGGTGACCACCGACGGGAGATAACCCATCGTCCATTGTGAGATCGAATCAGCGTTTCGCCACATGTTTCCCGGGTAATCACTGAAAGAAAACTTCTTATGCAAAAACAAAACCGCACTCACATTATTCTACCAACACTTCGTTTCTGTTGAACGCTTTCAGCTGTATACAAACGAATCGTCGGATAGCCGCCAATTCGTTGCTCATCACAGAATGCACGATGCGCCTAGAAAAAATTCTTTAGATACTAGGTTGTTTTTAACATTTAAAATTATTCTTTAACTTTAGCTAATTGACAAAAAGATTAAAAGTAAAATCTTTTACCTGACAATCCACCGAGCCATATTTAACGTTTTGCGAGTCGTGATCGCGAAGAAGTCGACCAGCACGTTGAAACTCTGGAGCAAGCTAAAAATTAGCATAAAACGATAAAACGAAATTTTTAATGAACCTGCTGACAAGGTCCACACCATGGCGCGAAAAAGTCGACAACCCAAGTGATTTCCGCAGCTTTATCGGCTATTTCAACAGCAAACTTCTCTGGGGTTAACTCGGCTACCGATGGGTTCAACGCATCCTAAAAGCTTTGACTTATAGTTTTAGATAAGACATTTAATAAACCTCCATAAAATCGATGATCTCGGGTGCAGAGCTGTAGCCAACTGACGAATACGTTTTCCCCTTGTAATAGAGTTTCTTGTGCGGGTAACTAAACAAGGAAATTATGTTTCCAGAATGAAAATCCCACCTCGTAACACCGGCTTTCTGACAGACAGCTAAATGTCTTGTGCAATCGATTGTTCCAATGTTCAACTTCTGTGAGTCCTCGTCGAGTTGGGAGTGCACTTGTCGCAGCTCGGACATCAATCGCATACAAGGCGGGCACCACTAAATACAAATTTTAATTAACATTCAACAGTAATACAAGTACAAACAAGTAGGAGTACTTGTGAATCTAATACAGTTAAAAAATTAAATTCAAAAACTGACCGGCGCAAAATAGTCGACAAGCCAAAGATCGCCACTTTCAACTGCGTCATCGTGCATCTCCGGGGTTAGTACTCTGAAAAGAAATGTAGAAATAATCAGTCTTAAAATTAGATAAATGGATGTATAAGCTTATTAGCCTATTAGCTATTATTAGCTTATTAGCTATTATTAGCTTATTAGCTATTATTAGCTTATTAAAATTACTAGTACTTCTGCATTTTAAAAAACTAAGCCAATAAGTTAACTGATTAAACTACAGTTCTATAACAACAGAATTTTTAATAAAACCTACTTCATCGGCGTCTTTGAAGCCTCTCTGATGAAAACCATTTGATCTCTCCAGCTGTTCTTTGACGTAGCTAAACAAATAAATACTTATACTCTACGCTCAACTTTACCTACCATAATTGATCTCATATCCGCCATTTGCTTTGAATAGGACAGTTGTCGGCAATTTCGCCACATCGAGTTGTTCAGCACACAGAGTGTTTCGGGAGCAGTCGAAGAATCTAAAAGATAAACGCACAACTTAAATTTAGAAACTTTAGTTTAGTTTAGGAGTTTAGAAATACTTACCCGATTTTGTATTTTGGGAAATAGGTCTGTAAACGGACCATATCCTTTTTCTCTTCGACGGTCGTCTGATCTTTCACAAACCTAAAAAATAGATGATTATCAGTATTGATCTATCATTACATTCTCAAAGAGTTTGCTTACTTAACTAGCTTCTTTAAATCATTAAACTTCAATATTATTAAACGTTTAAGTACTCGTAATTTTAGTATCGAAACATTTACTTCACAAAAACTAGAACTATTTGATCCGCTAGAAAAGGCTAAACTTTACCAAACAACTGTATCCGTCATAGCACCAATGTGTTGATCAAAGAGCGATTTCACGTCATCTTCATCCATTTCAGGGAGACTATCAAGCTTTTGGAGCGCGATCGATGAGAGTTCTTTCGGATCGAGGGAGTCGAGGACCTGAAATCAAAAATTATATTCCATAGTCTAGGTATTTCCTGTTATCAGCTTCAAATTCTTACTTGTTCTGTTCCAGGCTCGATGCGTCCTTTCTCAAACCAAAGCACTCCATCAGTCCGATCAAAAAGCTCGCAAAGATCATCTTTCGCCGATCCGTGATAGCAGCTGATCGTTCCCACGTTCACCAAACCGAACAACATCGACCCGAGTTTTCGTCTAAATTTGGATTCATTTAAATTTTATCTGATCACTCACCGATTGATCTGTGACAAGCATCGATCCGAATCATCACAGAAATCGATGATCCACGGTTTGTTCGCTGTTTCGGGCGTTTGCTGGGCGAAGACCAAGTAGTTATTCGACGTCAGCTCGACAACCTAAACTGATAGCGTTTTTCTGGCGCAACGATTGAATCCAATAACGAGAAAAGTTTCAAAAGATAACTCACTTGATTTGGCAAACGGCTCATCACAAAGTCGATGAGTAGCTCGAGATCACGTGGACCTTGGTAGGGAGTTCCCTAGAATAAAAGAAATTTAGGAGTGAGCAACAAAAAAGCTTTAGTAGTCTTAAAATTTTCCAACAAACTTACATCAGGATACCAAACGAGACTCGGGTAACCGAAGACGTTCTGGCTCTGGCATAATCCCGGATCCTCGGCACAGTTCACCGCTCCCTGTTGTTTTTTTTTGCTTTTCTTATTGTTCTATATATCGCTTACCACACGAATCACGCCGTCCATTGCAGCCGCAAATTTACGCCACTAAAATATAAAAATGATTTGTTTGATCCAACGCAAAAGCAAGCCCAGCTTGACCCAACTTTCTTTTTCGTGTAAAATTTGCAGTGCATTTACTTGATTGACAACAATGCTTAATCAAATTAAAAAATTTTTTAAATACCGTTGGCGCCAATTGATGACAATGCCCACAGTAAGTCGAGTAGAAATTGATGAACCAAATTTCGCCAGTGCCTGAAATTTCGTATAAAGACTGTTAGAATAGTTTTCGATAAATTTATAAGCTACAATTCTAAGTCTTGATAAAGATACTGAAATGTAAAACACACCTGAAACCATTTGCGTGAACTCCACTCGATTCAACGTCGTGATCTCGGTGTCCTCGTCATAAATGCCTAAAAAGTTGAATAAAAACAAGCTTACCAAAAGATTGTACTGTCTTTACTCGAGTTTTAACAAGTCTAGTTACTCACCAAAGTTGTCACGATAAAATTGCCAGCTCTGAAAGTTCTGATTAGGATTGAAGTCGTCGGCCAGACCAGCCTCGCCGTATTGATCGAACTTCTTTCTGAAAATTTCAAAAATCTTTTATAACTGTTTTAAATAAACTTTTTACAATAAACTTTGATACTTTTGATACTTTTGTCACTTATTCCCGATTTGTAGGTAATCTAGGTACTTGTGACACTTATTTCCTAAGCCTAAGCCTAAGCCTAACATTTCAAACTTTTATCAGTGATTTAAATGAACAAAAGCTATTCAATAGAGTCACAAGCACTAGCTTTACAAATATTCTCATACTCACCTCATTTCCTCATCTTTCAACACCTCATACGCTCGATTGATCTTCAAGAATTCCGCGTGCGCCTCGGGGTTATCCTAAAATTACCAAATTAAATATCTTTATTTTAGAATTTTATTCCTATATAAAATATTAGGTTGTCGAGTTTGAATGCGAATTTTTCACAAAAATATTTTTTCCAAGAGAATGAAGCTATTAAAATTAGTCCGGTTTGTACCATTAGATAGGTAAATCTGTGTTCTAAATTGGGCTTTTCAGCGTTTTTGAAAAGTTTAAGTTTCGGCAAATTTTCAGGGATCCAAAGACAAGTAGTCAAAATTGTTCAAAATCATTCAGTTGGCAACTTTTTCGGTGGAAAGTTAGCATTAATTTTTTTGCTCAAATGAAAGACCAAGCGTTTATACATTTTCTTTATACAAATTTATACAAATTTTCAGCCAAATCCGTCATTTTTTCGAAATGTTTCAAATTTGTTCGAAAAGCCTCTCAAATGAGCAAATACCCATATTTTAATGCATTCTTCAAACAAACATTCTGAAAAAAAACGGCTGAACGGATTTGGCTGAAAATTTGCTGACATATGTAAAAAGAGTTGTTCAAAAGTTCGAGTAGAAAACATTCCAAATCGATTCCACAAATAAGGTGGTTGTCGGCGAGTTTCGATTTTTGACGCTTTGATGGGGGTGGGACAAATGCGACCTTTTTTTTCGCTGGAAAAGGCCTTAGGAAAGGCCGTAGAGCTTCAAAAATGTTTTCACAGAGGGGAATCGTATGCGTAGATTCAGAATTTCGACAAATCAACTACGCAACTTAACGCTTTTCCCCAGTTTTTGCCTTTTAGCCCAAATTTGACGTGTCAGCGAGGTCTGATTTGTCGAAATTCGGATCTACGCTACGTCCCCTCTGTATTTGGCTCTACGGCCTTTTCCAGCGAAAAGGGCCTTTTGGGCAAAGGTCGCATTTGTCCCACCCCCGTTTTTGATTTTTGACATTATCTTTGGATCCCTGAAAAATTGCCGAAACAGAAGCTTTTCAAAATCGCTCAAAAAGCCCAATGTAGAACACAGATTTACCTTTCTAATGGTACAAACCGGACTAATTTTAATAGCTTTGTTTTCTTGGAAAAAATATTTTTGCGAAAAATTCGCATTAAAAACTCGACAACCTGATAGAAATTAAAATGAACTCTATCCCAATTATAAAATCTTTAAAAAGAAACCTTATTTTTATCGGGATGTTTTTGAATGGCTAATTTCTTGAAGGCTTTCCTTATCGTGCGGTCATCAGCATCTTTCTGCACTCCGAGGATCTCGTAGTAGTCATCTATAACAGAAAAAAGTTCAAAAAACAAGATAAAGCTTTTAGATTACTTACGAATCTACTGTAAAATTATTTCCAATCTAATTTTATTAAAAAAAATACCTCCAGCAATGATCCGGCCAATGCATAGTAGTGCAAAAAGGGCGCCGCACTGCCAGCGCATCAATCTAAAGTACATAATCTTTATGGTAATATTATTTTTTAAATATAAACAACTAAAAAACATAAAACATCAAAAAGCGTTCGCAAAAAATTTTATAGGCTAAGTGAAAGTTGCATCGAAACTATAAGGTGCCCTTTATCCCCTCTTGTCTCTTTTTTTCATAGCTCTTTAGTTGTGAGAAAAATTGGGCAAGAAACATCTAATACATTTTTAAGCGTTCAGCATAGGGTCTAGAATGCTGAAAATGGTTGAAAAATGGCTGAAAATACATTAATTTTTAAAAGCGCAACTTTTTCAGTTTAAAGCCAGTTTAAACAGCCAGCCAGTTTAAACAAAGCTCTCTAAAACTAAATATTGAGTCATTTTGTTTAAAAAGTTGATTTTTCTGGGTAATTTGAGGGCGTAGAATCCGAATACCGTATTCTCTCTAATAGAGGTGCACTCTTTAATAGTAGTGCACTCTCTAATAGTATTGCGGTCCAGGAGGGGGTTGAAAAAATAGTAGTGCACCCCCAAAAATTTGAATTTCTGTTTGCTTCTTTTTCATCTAAACCTTTTTGACTTTATGTTTATGTGACATTCTAAAGCTATTCAAGCAAGCAAAAGTGAGGCTTTTTTATTCATTTATTAACTATTCTTCACATGGAAAAGTTAGCAAAAAATCTAAAATTGTTGTGCAAAGTGCAAAAACATCTTTTTGTTGTTTGTCAAGACACAAATTGTCAACTCGCCGGCCCACAACTGTATGTCAAAAGGAGCCAAAGGAGTACGTGAAAGAATTGCAAGAATTTTTGGAATAAAGTTTATATCTGTCTTACTTTGGTAAATGATAAAACTCTTTAATAGTACTGCACTCTCTAATAGTATTGCGGTCCAGGAGGGGGTTGAAAAAAATAGTAGTGCGCACTGCTATTAGAGAGAGAATACGGTATATAAATACTTTATTTAGAAAGAAATAAAGTGCGAAAACGACATGAAAAATGTACCAGATAAAAGATCACAAAGTCACTTAAAATGCAACGAAGTAGCCCTTTTAAAATCAGACACGGTGGAGATCAAACGCAACTTGTCGGGAAGGGCATTCCAAACTTTAATCACACGATTTACAAAAAAAGCTCTAGAGGATTTAGATTCACTCTAGAGCAGATTCGGGATGCAAGATAAAAGAGTCACTCCTAGTCCCCAAAAGCCTCGAGTTTAGCGGAAACAAATTTTTAAAAAGATGGTTTTGATGTTTTCCTTTTACAATTTTAAAGCACTCAACCAAATCCATGATAAGACGGCGCTGTTCTAAGGTTTCAAGTGAGAAAAGTTTCAATCTATACCTGACGGATGAGTAGTTAGCAAAATCAATTTTAAATAGAGTGTGTTCCTCGCGAGTAATGCGTTTTTTAAAAAGCACACTTGGGAAAAAATTACCGTACTTTTAGCAAAAATTATTGCAAAAAAAATGACGCAAAAACCACGAGCCCCGCATTATATACCACACTTTTTAAAGATACTCAGCCGTTTAACTGATTTGGTAGGAAATTCCCTTCCAATGTAAAAATTGATTTTTTTGAAAAACCTGCGCAAAAAATTGCTAAGAAGGAACTTTAAAGGAACCAAATAGGAACTATAAAAGAACTATAAAAGAACTATAAAAGAACTACAGAGGAACTATAAAGGAACTATAAAGGAACTATTTTTTCGCGCAGGCGCACTTTTTAGAAAACGCATTACTCGACAATTACTCCAGTAAAAATTAACTCATGCAAATTTACTCGAGTAATTACTTACTCACAAGGAGCACACTCTAGTATGCAATGTTCGAGTATCGTATGGGGCTGGGGTACTATTACAGTTATTTACGATATATATAACGCCATTCGTCTCTCCGTCTGGTCTGTCCGTGGCTTTCAATATTTAGTTCTAGGGAGCTTTTTTTAAAAATTTTAAAGTCAATTATATCCGAAAAAGTTGCGCTTTTGACCCAGTTGCGCAAAAAAAAGTCGCTCCTTAAAATGATCTAAGTCCCACCCCTTAAAATGAAGCAGCGCCTTAGATTTGACCTTTAAAAGTCATTTTCGCCATTTCCGAAACCCTTTAAAACTCATCCTTTATGACTCATGCTTTGTGATATCCCCTCCAAACAAAGAATCCAATAACGTTGAGCAGAGCTCTACTCTAGACGTTCGTTACCTACCATAATATACAAATGAGCAACAAGTTAATTATATCTATCTAATATCAAATCTAATATATAGATGGACGTCCGACTCTGAGTCGGACGTCCGTTTCGGAGGAGAATGAATCTCCTCAGATTCGGACGTCCGGATCGGAGATGGACATCTCCTCAGATTCGGACGTAACATATATATAACGTCGTCTCGTTCGTCTGTCCGTCTGTCCGTCTGTCTGTCCAAGGCTTTTGTTCGGGGAATTGAGCTAGGGGGTGAAAAATTCCATTTTAGGGTAAAAAAAAATCGCAAATTCGCTGATCCCGAGTCCGTTTGTAAAAAACGTCATTTCCCGCCGAGTTATTTGACTTTAAAATTTAAAACGACCATTCAATTCTCATGTCACGCCAAAGAGGGGGAATTTAAGCAAAGTAACCGCCTAGCGAATGCCCAGCGCAGCTAGTTTTACCCTAAAGTCTATTGTAGGTATTACCATAGTATCTTCAACTTAATACCCTATAATCAGTAATTTTTAGGCCGCAAATCAATCAATAAACAAAAAGAAAAGAGTTTGTTGTGTCGAAGAGTAAGTGAGTAAAAGTGAATGTGAAAGGGGTTTGGGATGAGTGAAAGTGGGTAGAGAGTCTTGGTCCACACAAGTTTCCCCATAGACACACATTCAGTTCTTCCTTCTCATAGTCAACCCTTCTCCCCACAAAACCCCCTCTAGGGCTACGTGTCACTCTCGCGCCGTCCCCTTTTTGCTTTTCCCTATCCCACTCTCCATTTATTTGCACTTCTAAGGAACTTCGGTACTTCGATCTAGACGAGTAATTTGAGCAATATATTAATCAATATACCGTATTTCTTCGAATAGAAGACCGGGTAAAGAGTATTATCGCGTACTCCTGCGTAGCAGCCCTTTTTAAAATTTCTTTTCTGCATAAAAGCTTTCAATTAAGTGCTATAGAGCTGAAAAATGGCACAAAAATCTGTTAGCTCATGTGGTATTTTTGAGTCATTTTCCAGCCCTATAACACTTGATTGAAAGCTTTTATGCAGAAAAGAAATTTTAAAAAGGGCTGCTACGCAGGAGTACGCGATGATACTCTTTATCCGGTCTTCTATTCGAAGAAATACGGTATTTGCATGAAATCGCAAAAAACAGCCCAAAATACAGTACAAAGTACAGCACAAAGTACAGCAAAAAGTAAAACGCACGCTCTCTGGCAAACCAAATGCGTTTCTTGGGTAAGAAGAGCATTTTAGCGTGTCAGAGAGTGTGCTTTTGGTGAAAAACATAAAAAACAGCGTACATGTATTGGGTTCTATTTGAAATGAACTAAACAAGGGCTAATGAAGAGCCAGATGTGCCAGAAAAGGTACGTTCGCTGGAGCACGTACGTCTGGAGCACGTACGTCTGGAGCACGTACGTCTGGAGCACGTACGTCTGGAGCACGTACGTCTGGAGCACGTACGTCTGGAGCACGTACGTCTGGAGCACGTACGTCTGGAGCACGTACGTCTGGAGCACGTACGTCTGGAGCACGTACGTCTGGAGCACGTACGTCTGGAGCACGTACGTCTGGAGCACGTACGTCTGGAGCACGTACGTCTGGAGCACGTACGTCTGGAGCACGTACGTCTGGAGCACGTACGTCTGGAGCACGTACGTCTGGAGCACGTACGTCTGGAGCACGTACGTCTGGAGCACGTACGTCTGGAGCACGTACGTCTGGAGCACGTACGTCTGGAGCACGTACGTCTGGAGCACGTACGTCTGGAGCACGTACGTCTGGAGCACGTACGTCTGGAGCACGTACGTCTGGAGCACGTACGTCTGGAGCACGTACGTCTGGAGCACGTACGTCTGGAGCACGTACGTCTGGAGCACGTACGTCTGGTTAGCTCATGTGATATTTTTGAGCCATTTTCCAGCTCTATAGCACTTGATTGAAAGCTTTTATGCAGAAAAGATTATATATAATATATTAATCAATTATCAATCAATCAAATAACCAATTTTCTCGTGACGGATCTTTTGCTTGAAAAGGTCGTTTAAAACGCTTTTAAAACTGTCAATAAATAATATAGCTTTTAAAATCGATAGCTTTAAAAGCGCAATCGATACTGCCGCTTTTGAAAATAGTACTGTAGCTTTTAGGATTATTGTAACGAAAAAAATGTCACCGAAATCCCAACTTTGCCGATGAAAGTTGAATGAATGCCGGATAAAAGACGAAACTTTTGTCAGCCTAAATAATAACAAATGTGCAACCTATTTCATCTCAACGATTTAACCTCTAAAATCCAAAAACAATCGCAAAGCCTTCCGCAAATTTGAAAACGATGTCCTTACGTTAATATCAACAACGTTCAGAGAAATTTTTCTCAAAAAAGCAAAAACTTTTGACCCCTGAGTGACTCGAACACCCAACCTTTCGATCTGGAGTCGAACGCGCTACCATTGCGCCAAGGAGTCCTGTGACGACGGCCGGGAAAGGGAGGCCAAATGCTCGCTGAGAGATACACTTCGGGGCGAGAGAAAGAGGGAAAAATCGAGCAAAACTCTATTCAAACCCTTTGTTTCCATTGCAAACAAATAAATTTCATTTTTTAAAGCTAATGCACACGTTTAAGATAGATAAAGTAGATGAATAACCCTCTAGCTAGCTACCAGTTCAGTTTTTGAAAGGAAAATAGATTTTAAAGCTCCCAGAGGTGCATAAATAACCTATAGGTGTTTGCATTAATATTTGTAAACACTATAAAATCATTTTCAAAAAAGCAAAAAATTTTGACCCCTGAGTGACTCGAACACCCAACCTTTCGATCTGGAGTCGAACGCGCTACCATTGCGCCAAGGAGTCATGTGGCAACGGCCGGGAAAGGGAGCCCAAATACTCGCTGAGAGAGACCGCCCGACGAGAGAGAACGAGAGAGCCCAATAAGCAAAAATGATAATGGCGGTGTGAGAGACACGGATTAGCAATGCATTTTCAAAGGGAAATTTCGGGAAAGAGCAAAAATCTTTATTACCTAAATGAGCATTTTCTGTTAGCACAAACCCGTATACAAGCAACAAGTGTACATTAAAATCAACAGAAACAAATATCTTCCAAAAAATTTTAAAAAAGTTAAAAGCATGCTAGTAATCGATAAAAGCTGAGTTGGCAAGGCATCAAAAATGAATAATTAAGACAAAAAGAATACACATTTTAGTTTTTCATCAAGCCCCGCTCGATCGCCACTTTGTCCAGGTACCTAAATAGAATTTAAAGTCCACAGTTCCTGACTTGAACATTTCAAAATGAAATAACTTTTAGCTTTATGTCATCTTTGTACCATATAAAATGTTTTTCCTTAACGATGCCTTAAAATTTCTCCAAACAACTCACTTGTCAAGGACTTCTCCATATTTGGCAGGATCCGCCTTCAGATGAGCCACGTGTTCCGCGTTGCCAAAATTCAAATAGGTGACCTCTTTACCACGAGCCAATTGCCAATCGATGAACTCCATGATCATGCTAAAGGAAAAAAAATGAATGGAAAATTATTAAGGCTTGCGGATAATGTCTATTTAATACACGTTTTAAAGAACCTTACTTTGCACGACATATCACATCTTTATCCGAGAAGAAGTATGCTTGCTGTTTTGGGATATCCGGATGTACTTTCATAAAGGTAAATGCGTCCAATTCAGTCATTGGCTTTCGGAAGAAGAGATGTAGAGCTTTAGCCTAAAAGCTTGAAGTTAAATTGTGCAAAAACATGAGCTTACCCTCAAATGTGCAAAAAGCATGATAAGACCAAGGAAATGTTTATAGATGAGAGCGATTGCTTTTTGAGCTGGGCCCATTTTATTCGTGAGATCCGTGAAAATGCTCTCCAAGACCAAAGTGTACGCAGTGACTTCTTTGAAATAAACGGGTCCACTAAAATAAGTCATGATTTTGGTTAAAAGTCAACTACCTAGTTCTACCAAAATTCTAAATGAGTCACTGGCCTTTCCTAAATTCAAAGCATGCTACCTATCCATCGCCAATCCATCGGTCCTCTTCAAGAAATCCGTAAAACCCTTCCGATAAAGTAGCGTGCATAACGTGAATACTCCATTCATGCTAAAATTTCAGAATATAGCGTCTTTCATTAATTCAAACCTATAAGTGTGAATCAAAAAGCGACGCGTCGGATCATCGGCTATTTTCTTGAGCTCGGGCAAAAGTCCAGAAATGTCTCGGCCATCCTAAAAACATTTTATAATCCGCTTAACAGAGAGGCTTTTTTTAAAAATATCCACAAATAATCACTTAATTTAAGGTACAACGGATGTCGCCCATCGAAAGCTGATGTAAACGACAATGTCTTGAATCTAAAAAGTGTGTTTAACCAAAAAATAAATAAGATCTACCCTCTATCGTGATAAAGTTCAGCGTGTTTTGCCACGTGTTTCTCCCGGGCTCCAGCCCAACCAAAAAGTATTACGGATGTGTCTCCTAAAAATTAGCTTAACAAAAGTAAAAATTCGTCAAACTCACTAGCAAGAACGTGTGGTTTAGATGGGATGGTCGGTTCTCCAAGAATCGCTCGAGGGGCTTTCTTCTAAATAAATTAAATCATTCACTTGATCTAATAAATAGTTGTATATCATTGAAATCAAAATTTATCTTTCTCTAACTTACCGCATAATCCCTGCTGATTGAATTGAGAAAATTCAAGGACGGTCGAGACAATCGCATCCTGGAGGGTCTAAGCTTTATTCTTTATGAAAATTCTTTATGAAAATATTCTTTATGAAAATCAATAAATTAGAAACATAAGTAAAACATAAAATGTACACGATTTACCGTTTAATAACACTAAATTTGATCGAAATAAAACAGAAACACAATAATTGCTTGATGAATTGTCAATATTCAGCAAAAGAGCTACACGTAAACTAACACAATAACATTTTGAAGATAAAAGCTCAAACGGCACTTTTGCTGTTCCCTCCTCCCAAAGCGTATGAAAATTTTCGGGGGTACGGGGGATTCCCCCTTTTTTCATGAATGTATGCTATTGTAATACTCAATTAATGCATCTCAATAGTAGGCAAGCACGAAAAAATATCAAGAAAATTAGTGGTACAACAAAAAAGAAAACAAAAGGTAGCGCTTATTCAGTCCTGTCATCTGCTGGAAATAACCGACCGTACAACGCCGACAAAAACTACCCACCTCCCCAGATTGCTAATCGCAGGACGGTACCATGCAAAGTAGCCCCAAAAATTTTTTGCGTCGTTTGGGGAGGGGACAAACAGCAAAAGTACCACTCAAACTTTATATTCAAATAATTCCCAACTGTTTCTCCAAGTAACGAGCAACATTTTTAAAAGGCGGCGACTGATATCGTTCCAAAGTGAAAAGTTTCGGGTCACAAATCGCTTTATCCAACTCATCAGGGCAGCAATACAGCAAGTTATTCAACTCAGCGAGTTTCTCAGCCAACTCACTTTGATGATTGTTCATCAAACGATCGTTGATCACAGCAATGAAAGGTTTTCCCGCATTCAGCACCTCCAAAGCCGTTCCCGCTCCCCCGTGTCCGATCACCAAGTCGGCTCGCTTAATTTCCTCGGCAATCGAGCTTTTGTATTGAAAGAAGTTGATTGACAAGCCGTTGACCTTCACCGTTCCCTCTTCACTTCCAAGAATTTTTCGTACCTTCTCCGATAATTCACTGGCTCCCATTTGCAACGTAAGCTCACCAACATTCACCTCTTTCAACGCTTTAAGAATCTTCTCCTCAAGCATCAAATTGATTAGCACATCGAAGCGGGTTGTTCCCACAGTGACAAAGCATTTACGGGTCATTTTGGCAAAAACGCAGCTACCGGATCGGCCGTCGAATACTTCCAATCGTCTTTCTTCACCTCGTTCAGCGTAGCCTTGATCGATTCCAACCGCTTTTGGTGCAATTCGTCTTGCTCTTTGCGCAATCCAATGACGATTTTTTCTTGAACGTCCGCTTCAAGAATGACCTTGTCGAAGAAAGCCTTCGACTTGCAGAATTTGCGATTTTCACTTGGCGAAGTGACCAATGAGCCTTGATCAGAATCTGATGAATGCGTGGAAACACTTGTATCAAATCCCGAGACGTACGAGCTGTTGGCGTTATCCATGCATTCCTAAATTTAAAAACTTCAAAAACGAGATTGAAGAAGAGTTTGCTTACTCAATTCATATCCGCCAAGCACTTTTTAATTTCAAAAGAAAAATATTGCTCTGGAATATCCAATTCGAAGCAAAAACAAACCAGGTAACAGTATTTATCAAAATTAAGCAAGGTATAAAAATGATATCCGATAAAAGTATCCAAACATAGACCTCTCGAAAAATTTCAACTATTTTTAGACCAATAAAATGTTTAAATAAAGGCAATGTGTATCCCGTATTATCAAAAAAGGGCGAAATGAAAAATCTTTAACAAGACATGCAAATTTAAGCTAAAAACTTCTAGGCTATATTCTTATTAGCCGTTTTCACCAAGTCGAGGAGACGTTGGAAAGCCCGTTTCTCTGCTGGAGGAAGATTTGTGGCAAGGCAAGCTGAAAAACGCAATTTAGAAAGTTAGGTTTTATAGATAAAAGCCTAAAAGTAGAAAAATTTACCCGAAAGTTTAGGGTTCATAATTGAACAAAGACGTATAAAAGCGAGTGGAGCCGATTCCCAATAAACTACACTCGAAGCGATGACACCGGGAATTGTCTAAATCAAATGTTAAAGAACATTCAGCTATTTATGAATTACCTTTTCAAAGAAATTCTCCTGGGAAGCCAGTGTCGCGATGATTCTCTCACATACATCACGCATCGAAGCGATCATTTTATCATCGGGGAGTTGTTTCACAAACTTTCCAACTTCTCGTATGTAACACCCTAAAGTATTTATGATGATTATCTTTACACTAGTGCTATCAAGCAAACTTACCAAGTAAATCCATATATAAAGCGGATTGATCGTGTCGAATAGCTTGCGGGACTGAGCGAATCAACGAAAGTAGCAACTTTCCAAACGATAGCAGTCGTTGAATATCGTTGGCATCAGATTTCTAAAAGAAATAATGTAAAAACAAATCGAAACACAAACCTGAAGTATAACAATCTCTTGTGTCGCCAAGCTCATGATTAAAGAAACGATTGAAGTGTTCGGGCTCTTTATTGGCATGATCTAAATTAATAATTAGGTAGGAACACCTTGAAGTAGTACCGCAAGTATCGAATTGGCCAGCTCAGTCAAAAACTTCGAGCCAACGCTTTTCGCCAAAGCATCTTCCAACAAATCATTCAGTGACTCATAGGAATTCTAAATTAGTAAATCAAAAAGTATAAAATTTAAAGTTTACCATTAGCTTGGGAGACAGCAGATCTTTTAAAGCGATAATGTAGCTGTCGTTGAGATCTTCCGGAAGTTTGGCAATGAAATCGGCTAACTAAAATTATTAAAATAAAACTAAATTACTAAGTAAAATTAAAATCATACTTGATTTGGAAGAGTTTTCGAAGCAATCATCACACGCATTTCGGAGTCCAATCGAGCCAACAGTGACCAATCAAGTAAAGATTCGATGTGTGCCTGAAAATTGGCTTTTAAACCTTTAAACCTAGACTTACTTTTTCATAGCTTTCAACATCTTCAAACAACGATCCGGCTCTCAAAGTGAAAAATTGAAGTGCTACCATTTTGATTCTCAAGGCAATGAATTCCGATTTGATCGTTCGATGCGCCAATCTAAAACCACTATTAACTTCAAACTCTGTAAATACTCACTCAGTAATGCGTTTCCGATACTTTAGGGTGAAAAATTTCGTGCCAAGACAAGCGGTGACGTGCTCCTTTTTCCATTTGGAGAGTGGTTGGAAGATACAAGCAGATAGAGCTGGATTTTCATCGTCAAATGAGGCCTCGATGAGATTTGTGATGAGAGATGCCTCGATCTAGAAAAAACATATCTCAAATTGGTGCATAAACCTAGAGAAATCTGATTATCATATAGCCTAATTGAATTGTAAGTGAAGTCAATTCCTTTAAGAAAGCAATGTTACCAACATCGTTTGCTTCGATGCGATCCATGTAAACAAGATGCAATAAGACGCTTCCAGCCAAAAGCTTTATCGTCGGCTCCTTTATCTCATCTAAAGACTTCAGAAAAGATTTGGCCGTTTTCTTCGATGAGGAGATCAACAAGCTCAACGCATGAGACATCTCGAATTGTTCCAGATCCTAGCATTTTTCAATAAAATTTAGAATAAAGGTGCCTAGCTACCATCGGAAGAGTCAATTCATCTTGCGTCATAAACAAGATTAACAATTTGTGATTCACTGAAATTCGCGATACCTAAACACAGTTTAAAAATAATTTAATAGTAAAATACTCGACCTCTTGCTCTAAAAGAAGTTTGTAAAGAATCGTCCATGAACTCGAAGACATGCATTGATCGTTTGAACAAGTGCATGCAAGTAGAAAACTCTAGAAAAATATGATTTTTCATTTAGAATTTAAATTTACCAAAACTTTCGACAAAAAATCAGTCGAGATGACAGTCATAGGCACGCTCAAAAACAATTCAAGGGATTTGGAGTCAATCTAAAGAACAAAAAAAATTAGGTACAAAAAATTTTCTTTACTTGTGCTGCTTTGGTTGACTCTGATCGCTTCTTTTTCTTTGGAGCTTCTCCATCCGAGTCGATTAATGATGTCAAATGGCTGTGATATTCAGACGGAATTGAGCTCTAAAAGATGTTTTAAATCTTTAAAGATAATTCTAACTCACTAAAAACGCTGAAGCTAATGTAGAGGTCAACTTCTGAATTAGAATCTCCCAAAAGTTAGCGGACTCCGTGAAAATGAATGAATCGATATGAAGCAAGCGCTCCTTTAACTGTTGAATCTAAAACCAAATCTCAATTTTATACGGATGTTCTGAAAAACATGCCTTGCCATTTTCCAGATAAAAATGCAGAGCAAATCGAAAGGCATCATCACAATTTGGTACATACGCCGATAAAGCAAATTGGTCCAATATCAAGGTAGCAAGCTGAATAAATGAGCTTTGGTTAAAAAAATTATTCCTTGCCAATGCATCGGCGCTCATTTCCCAGTCATCCACAATAGCCAAAGAATCGGGTAAAGCCAATTTCTTGCCATCATTTGTCAAAGCAGTTGTTAGGAGTGAGAAGTATGGATCCTTATTCTAAAAATTTTTGTAGGTATAATAAGTAGAACTCTTACCAAAGTTTGCAACTTCGCCCATTCGTCGCTGGCACTCCGATTAAAGTACTGCTCAACTGAGACAATTAAGTAGAAATAAGTTCGAGCCAATAAGTAGGAAGCGCCTAAAATAATAAGTACATTTGTTTATTGTTTCCAACTAAGCCTCCGGACTCGTGAGCCAGTTTTAGTCATATAAAGTTACCTTTATGTTTAGGATGCAGCTCGAGTATGATGCTGGGCAATTCTTTCAAGATGCATTCGCGAATTCTTTCCGAATCGAGCACCGCGAGATGTGTGAGCGCGTGATTGAGTAGATAAGAGACATTTCTCGTTGAACTCTCGTCATTCTTCAAGATGAGACAAAGCTTCTCAATCAATTCGCACGCCGTCTGAGCACCAATCGAGCGATAATGGTTGAGAAGAAAAGCGAGCATAACCTAAAATTAGTTTATTTAGTTTAATAATATATTTTGTCTTTAATCTTTACGAGGGTACAAAAAGCGAAATTCACTTAATTTTAATACTAATGAGTTGCTACAACTCATTAGAATTGGTATGAGCATTTAAATTAAGCTAGAATTATACGGTACATTCTTTTGGACGAACTTCATTCAAATCCTTGCATTGTGTTGAATGCAGTGCATAAGATTTCACGATTGCCTCGATAACATCTTTCCTATCGACATTTTCACGAAATGACGACAAAAGTTGACCAGCTTCCGCGTAATCGATAGATTTATCTAAATTACTGTCAACTTAAAAAAAATAATATTTCACCTGTCAACGCACGATGAACTGTATTCGGGACATCAGTTGTCCCAACAATACTTCTCACTTTAGCAAGAATTCCCGAACCAAGAGTGGTAGCAGAAGTTTTAGAGGAGCTCTGAAATATAACCTTTATCAAAAATTTCGATTCAAATACTAACCACCATAGCTTCCGAGTTGAGTTAACGAGTCGCGAATCTCCTGCAAACGAATCAGTGGTCCAAGGTCGTAAACGCTGCGATAGGTGTAGCGTTGAATCAAGTATTCTTGTAATTGTTTCTAAAATAATGCTTATAAATAGAGTAGCTCCTTTAAATTAACCAAACAATCCAGCGGCAGGAAGTTATTCTTTTGCAACTTTCGCAACTGTTCCGGATCAAAATTGATAACTTCAGCTAGAGCTATCACGGAGAGCTTTTCAAGAGAGAGCACTAAAAGTTGAATGTAGAATGGTGACAAATAATTGGTAGATTTCAGCAATGAGTTATGATGTTTAACACGACTTACCTGGCTGACAGATGGCCACAAGGTCTCGTACAATGAGGTGACCCCTTCGTAGATAGAATCCTCGCTCCTCTTCGGTGTGACGAGCTATGAAAACCTAAAAACAAAACATTAATAGCTAAAATAAACATCAATCAAAACCTCGGATAGCTGCTTTTTGGTGCCGGTTCGACAAGGAAAAGTTTCTCCGTCTTCTGATCGTCGAAAAACCTAAAAATAGAAATATATTACCTAAGCTAATTATTAAAACTAACCCAAGTGTGCTTGTCGTAGGTGGTGATGTCAATAAACTGCTTGATCTTGAGAGTGGCGTAGCGAATCGGGCGGCCCTAAAATAAAAAAGTAGGTATAAAATTCATTGTGACCTCTACAAAAAACCACAACAAGCTTAATGTTTTATTCGGTAAAAGTCTAGGGTTCTCTCTAATCTCTAAGAGCTCTAAGTGAGTTTAAACCGGCGTTCATTTCAAACCATTTTTTGAAAATATATATATTTTGCTCATTCTTCAAGCCTTTATAGGCTGGCATAGTTGAATATCTTTTATTTTAGGCTGACATAGCTGAAGCTTTTTGTTTTCTAGGCGAGCCATTAATCTTAAACAAGTTTTAAAATTTTAAAGTCAATATTTCCGTTTTTTTGTTTGACAATCCGCTTTAAAAACGTCATATTCGTGCTCAGCACCTCAAATTACCCCAGAAAAGGTGGAAATTTCGAAAATTCCGAAAAAATACAAGTGGGGTCTGTACGGAATCTTTTCCACATTATTTACGGGGTTAGAGTAGTTTTAGGGGGCAGTCTAGAACTTGGCTCAAAATCAATATTTTTCCACGAAAACTTGCACGCAGGGGTTTTTGACTATCCTGAATCGATTAGTAATACTTTTATAGCCTTTTTATTAATTTGGTTTTATTTCAACAACATTCAATAACAAGAAACAACAATAAAAAAACTGTTGAGTATAAAAGAACGGTACTTTGGTGGTTAGGAGGGGCCACTTTTGGCTTGCTTTGTCGAATCTAGTCTTTTAAGCGGTTCATGTCGATACTTTCTTCTACTATTCTGAAGAAATGGATATATCCTGAAGCCATTGGTGCTAATTTAAGCACGTTTTTGATAATCCTATTCGATGATTTGCCCTATGTCCTAGCCTGTTGTACTTTAACCATCAAACGTTATCTCAAAGCTGATTACACTTGGAAAGCTGCAATATTAACTTGAAACATGTTGGAAATACTCTAAAATTAGCACCAATCGCTTCAGCATATATAATTATCGCGGCATAGAAGAAAAGTATCAATAGGAACCGCTCAAAATACTAGATTCGACGAAGCCAAGCCAAAAGTGGCCTCTTCAAACCACCAAACCACCAAAAGAACTCCCTGATAGGTTAGGGAGCCTGTTTTTCGGCAAATCGTCCGTATTCGAGTTTTTATTAAAAATGTGGTACTTTGGTGATTGGGAGGGGCTACTTTTATCCTGGCTTAGTTGCATCCAATGTTTTGAGTGGTTGTATTAATACCTTTTATCTTTTCTAGGGTAATCAAATATGCTTAATAGATTGTTGACTATTTTAGCAAGCTTGGCATAGCATTTTAGCAATTCTAGCCTAATCTCATGCACTTTAACCACCAAACGCTACCTCAAAACTGCTCACACTTGAAAATCAAATAAAAACGGCAATATGAAACTTGAAACATGTTGTAAATGCTCTAAAAGTATAAGCCTATTTGATTATCTTAGAATAGATAGATAAAAGGTATCAATACAACCATTCAAAACATTAAATACAACTAATCCAGGATAAAAGTGGCCCTCCCAACCACCAAAGTACCAAAAATGTTATACATTAATAAAATTAATAAAAAGTTCTAAAAGTATTACTAATCGATTCAGCATAGTCAAAAAATCCCTTTGTACAAGTTTTCGTGGAAAAATATTGATTTTTGGTCAAGTTTCAGACTGCCCCCCAACTACTCTAGCACCCAATTTAGAAAATGCTTCAACCGATGTACATTTAACTATTACCTCAAAATCTATCCAAATCAAGTCGACGTCACTTAAACTCCAATTGTAGAAGCGAAGAAGCACTTGATCAATTGAGTGAGCCGATCTTAAATTGTCAATACCGCGAATTCCTGGCCTCGTTGGATGATCGGGCATTCAGTCAAGGTGCAAACGGACACCTAAACTTGCAAAAATTTGAAAAAAATGCAAAAAAAACCAGAAAATTTATAAGAAAAAGACAGCAAATAATCAACTCAAACTGACTAGAGCCTATATTTTTCAGGGCTAAATTGAACTTTTAAAAGTCAAAGCTTGTAAAAGTTTGAAAACGGCAAGGGACGATTAAAAAGTTAAAAAGTTAAAAAGTGAAGCAAGTTCAAATGCTCAATAATTTTTTCAAAACTAACTTTTTTTTCTGCAAAAACCTCGCTGCTTAAAGATTTTTAATACAGTTTTAAATACAATTTAAAATATAAATCACCCATTTAAACGGAATTTGATTTCATCTTCTTAACTATACCGTAACTGGTTCAATTCTTCAACTAATTCTACGTAAATTGAATATTTTTTTGAAATAGATTTGAAAGCATGATGAAGAAAGTATTAAAAAATCTATCCATTTAGCTTTTTTATCAGATCAGCAGGGCAGGGTGTCTATTAAGCGCTCTTTAAGCATGCCCTCTTTTTTACATAACGTGTACACGTCTTTACTATGTACTCGAGTATTTTTGAATCCCCTAACACAAAGCTTTTAGATAAAAGTTATTAAAAGTATTCGATTTAGCTTATTTTTTTCCAAATGGACAACCACGAGAAACCGATCGCTTCGACGAGTTGTCAGGAGTGAGTTAAACAGAATTTTGGCTATAAAACTTAATATATAGACAATTTTAAATACAAATCACCTACTTAAACGGAAATTGATTGACATCTTCTTAACTGTACCGTAATTGGTTCAATTCTTCAACTAATTCTACGTAAACTGGATATTTTTTGAAATAGATTTGAAAGCATGATGTAGAAAGTATTTAAAAATCTATATTACCAGCAGAAAAGTCCGCCTAACGCCTAACGGCGGGGCTGCTTTAGAAACGTAAAAATGATTGCCAGAAACGAATTCCCTGGTTGGAAAACCAGGCAAATTTCAGCGTAAAATGAAAATTGCACCCATGGGGCAGTGAATAGGGCGCTCGTCTCACGCCTCACCTGACCCGGGTACGACCCCGGCCAGTGACCACCTATTTGACTTTTTGCAAAAACTTTTTTAAAAAGCACAACTACATAAAATTTCATTAGACATGTGTTTCAGCGTTTTTTTAAAATACTCAAAGGGGACGCGCGTGCGCACAGCCAGACAGATTATTTTTTATATATAGTAGAGATATCAAATTATATTATACTTAAGCTACTGTGTTTACGAATATGTACTGTATGTACATAATGTACTGTATATAATAGGTACTGTATGTACATACCGTAAATACTGTAATAGTACCCCACCCCCAAAATGACGGTGCGGAGCGTTGCGTAATCTAGCTTTGGACGCATTTTTCTCGACACTGGTTTATGCTACAATGCGCACTTAGGTATCAAAAAATAGCTGAAATTCAGGGCTATTTTTTGATACCAGAGACGCATTTTTTGGAAGTACGAGTGCTTTGCAAAAATGAAATACTAAAAAACTTTTGCGACTACGCGACTGTCCGAGGGGGGGTGGGGTACTATTACAGTATTTACGGTAATGTATTGTATATAATATGTACTATATGTACATAATGTACTGTATATAATAATATGTATAATATGTACTAAAAGTTAGTTTTTCTAGAAAATCGCCGGCAAATGTGACAAAAAGCGCTTTTTACAATCAAGATCTTGAGGACGTGAGAGCCAGGATAAATCGGTTTGTGAGAAAAAATTTCCACAAAGACTACTAGAGAATGTTGTCAAGTCAAGCTCGAGTTTTCACATGAGCCCCGGGCCATCTGATAGTTCATCGAGGACTCTGAATTTGCTGTTAGCTTTTCTGGAACGTTTCTGTAACGCGAGATATTTGGCATAGAAAACGGCCTTTTTAGGCTGATTTACAAGCTTTTACAGCTTTACAAGCGCAAGCTTACAAGCTTCTCATCCCTAACTATGCTCTGATGGCCTAGTGGTTAGTTAGGCGTTAGGTTAGGTTAGTGTGGCTGCGTTCGAAACTTTTCCCCCCTGGCTCGAATCCCTTCACTACCCAATCTTTTTCCTTTTTTGTTTAATTATCAAAAACTATTTTTTAGGGTTTTAAATAAGTTTATTACAACGATTATAAACAGAACTTTTGCTATAAAACTTGAAATATAAACAAAAACTCGGTCATTATCTATTAATAAGTTGATAAATGTTGAATCTTGAGATTTCTTTTGCTTTTTCATGAAACTTGTATGAATTTTTTTTTGGGTGAGACGAACTGTAAGAAATTTTAAAAATTTAAATTGAAACTTCAAACTGAAACAAATTGGGGGGTGGAACAAATGCGACCTTTTTTTTTGCGCACCTGGACATTTGCGCACCTTTTTTTTGCTGGAAAAGGCCTTAGGCAAGGCCGTAGAGCTTCGAAAAACGCAAAATATGCGTAGATTCCGAATTTAGACAAATCAGACCTCGCTGACACGTCAAATTTGGGCTAAAAGGCAAAAACTGCGGAAAAGCGTTAAGTTGCGTAGTTTTTGCCTTTTAGCCCAAATTTGACGTGTCAACGAGGTCTGATCTGTCGAAATTCGGAATCTACGCATACGATTCCCTTCTATGAAAACATTTTTGAAGCTCCACGACCTTTCCTAAGGCCTTTTCCAGCAAAAAAAAGGTGCGCAAATGTCCAGGTGCGCAAAAAAAAGGTAGCATTTGTCCCACCCGCACAAATTGCAAAGAAAAGTTATATTTTGCTTTTTGCAACAGAAAAACTCTATATACATGAAGATATTTTTTAGGATTTTACAAAATCTTTCATACGCAAGCTTTGAAAAGGTGGTTTTTTATTTACTCTTTTACTTTTATTTACTCTTTTAATAAGCAGTTAGTCGTTGTAATAAACTTATTTAAAATAAAAAAAATAGTTTTTTGATAATTAAACAAAAAAAGCAAAAAGAGTGGGTAGTGAAGGGATTCGAAACAAAGGGAAAAAGTTTCAAACGCAGCCACACTAACCTAACCTAACGCCTAACTAACCACTAGGCCATCAGAGCATAGTTAGGGATGAGAAGCTTGTAAGCTTGCGCTTGTAAAGCTGTAAAAGCTTGTAAATCAGCCTAAAAAGGCCGTTTTCCATGTCCATAGAATGCAAATATCTTGCGTTACAGAAACGTTCCAGAAAAACTAACAGCACATTCAGAGTCCTCGATGAACTACCAGATGGCCCGGGGCTCATGTGAAAACTCGAGCTTGACTTGACAACATTAGTTAGACATTAGTTTAACATTAGTTCCCTAGTTAGACTTAGGCTCACAGTGCAGATTAGGAAATGGATTACGGTAGAAGTAAAGCAACTTGTATGCAGTAAAGCAGCTTTCTATTTAGCACTGATAAGTAAGTCTAAAAGCACAGTGCCATTGAACAAATCTAAATTTAGATTCTGGGATGAAAAGAAGAAAGTGTTCAAGGAAGAGAAGGGGGTGAGTAGATTTATACAGAGAAGTTTCAATCGAACTCTAGCACTCGTAAGCACTAGCAGAATAAACCAGATCTTGAATCCAGACTTTTGGGTCAAGGATTGAACCAGTTCAAACAACTGACTCCTTGACCCAGCATTGTCTGACCTGACCTGATAACTTTGGAGCTATGTGATTCACCGTACAATCGTACAATCGTACACCGTACAATCGTACACCGTACAATCGTACACCGTACAATCGTACAATCGTACACCGTACAATCGTACAATCGTACAATCGTACAATCGTACAATCGTACAATCGTACAATCGTCCAATCGTACAATCGTACAATCGTACAATCGTACAATCGTACAATCGTACAATCGTACAATCGTACAATCGTACACCGTACAAGTTATGCTAGAATCTACAAAGTAAATAAAACATTCTTCAATTTTCAGAGCTTTTACACAGAGGCGAGCAGTAAATGCGAATTGCCAATGGCGCGCGTAAAAAAGATCATGAAGATTGATTTCGAGATGGAGGGACAAGTAAGAAACCGATTTATAGAACTGATTAACGAATGTGGTTTCTAAAACACGCCAAATTTTCTCTTTCTACCGTATTCTTGTCTCTATTTCTACCAAATCTATCCACTTTTTTTTCAGATTTATTTTTCAGATGATCGCCCAAGATGCGCCCCTTTTTCTCTCAAAAGCTGCCGAGCTTTTCATCGAAGAAATCACATTGAAAGCCTGGGCAAATACGGAAGAGCAACGAAGGAAAACTTTGCAAAAAGTTCGAAATTTAAAGGAAAATTTCGTCCAAGTGAATTCTAGAATGATATCACAGCGGCTTGCTCAAGAAATGATCACTTTGACTTCTTGATCGATATCGTGCCACGAGAGGAGATCAAGAAAACATCGGTGCCGAATAATTGGGTTTGTTTGAAAATAAATATACAGTCGAATTTCGATATAACAAACCTCGATACAACGATTTTAATTAATTATTTGAAAGTTTAAAACGTACCCAAAATTTCTGCGTAGTTGCCCCAGCCAAATGTAATCAGTGGCCGTCCAGGGCAGCTAAGCAGAAAATTTGAGGCACGTTTTGGGTTCTTTATATCGAAGTTTACGTTCCCAAGCGATTCGTATCGAAGTTCGACTGTACGCTTTACTGTACGCAACTGTACGCTCAGTCTTTACAACGGTTTCTTTTTGGTAGCTCCCAAGCGTCAAGTTCAATCCTAATGTGCAAAGTGTTGTATAAATATTGAAGCTTTTAATCTTGGCTACATTTGCTTCTTAAAAGTTTCCCGATTGGAGATATACAACTCATTTTACAAGCCCTTGAATGTGTTGTATGTGTTTCCTGGGTAACCTTGATCTTGATGCTGCAATTTGAGTAGTTGACGAAGTTGATTTAACAAATTTGAACAGACGAAATATTGAGCGCTTCTTTTTGGTAGCTCCTAAGCGCCAATACAAAACTTAAATCAATTAAAACTTAAATCTTTCAACTTTCAACTTCTTTCAAATCCTTCTTTAACATTCTTTCAAATTAAAAGTCATCCAAGTCCCCAATAATCAATCGAATCAATCGAATCAATCGAATCAATCGAATCAATCGATCGATCAGGTCTTTCGAACAGTTGCCAACACTTATTGGCTGAGGCTTGCAATCTTTTTATTTTTGAAAAGATATGTGAGCGTTGGTTTTATTCCCACCACCTTTATACCAAAAAGAAGTCGCCGTAAATACTGAACACTGTATTTTGTGCTTGAATAAGTGCAAATCTAACTATTCGATTTCCTTTAGTCATCTCAAAACGCGGCCGAATCAATGCAAGCGACTCAAATGGTGGCTGTGGCTGGTGGTGGACAATTTGGATTGGATAACGTTCAATACCTGATCCCTGAGGGCAATGAAGGACAACAATTGGTAATAATAATACAGTCAACTCTCTCCATAACGGAATGCAAGGGGCCAAAAAATTTCTCCGTTATATAGAGTGCTATATATAGCTTAGCGTCGACCGGGACCAAATAATAATAATAATAATAACAATAATATCGCTCGGTCTGTCTGTCTACAGTAATCCTTCTCGTCTGTCTGTCTGTCTGTCTGTCTACAGTAATCCTTCTCATCTGTCTATCTGTCTGTCTACAGTAATTCTTCTCGTCTGTCTGTCTGTCTGTCTACAGTAATTCTTCTCGTCTGTCTGTCTGTCTGTCTACAGTAATCCTTCTCGTCTGTCTGTCTGTCTGTCTACAGTAATCCTTCTCGTCTGTCTGTCTGTCTGTCTACAGTAATTCTTCTCGTCTGTCTGTCTGTCTGTCTACAGTAATTCTTCTCGTCTGTCTGTTTGTCTGTCTGTCTACAGTAATCCTTCTCGTCTGTCTGTCTGTCTGTCTACAGTAATCCTTCTCGTCTGTCTGTCTGTCCGTCTGTGCGCAAACGCGACGCTCCATAATTACGTTTGCTCTATCGGTTAAAAGGCAAAGTATCCAGCGTTATTTTGCGATATTTTGCTCCCAGGGGTTTTCGGCTATGGGGAATCTCATTTTTAGGTCCATTTTTAAAAATGAGGCGGGCTTAACATGGAATACGGTATTTTCAGTCATTTGAATGGGTTCCCCGCCTTCCCAGCGGAAAAACACGAACAAAGCGTTTTCTGCTGATAATAATAATCCACCTTTTTGGCCGAATAGCTACGAGTAATCCTTTTTACACGTCGATTAAATAGAATATCTTTACATTTGAAAGAGAATTTGCTAACAAATCAGTTAAATGACTGAATATCTTTAAAAGGTGTCGTATATAAGGCGGCTCTCGTGATTTTGGCGCCATTTTTGCAAGGATTTTTGCTAAAAGTACCAAGCTATTTGGTGTTCTGAGAAAAATTGAGTTTTTCAATAAGCAGAATTGTTCCAAAGATTAAAATCTCTCAATTTTTGTACATTTCATCTGGTGCACTCAGTTTCTCTCAGAAACAACTTCTCATTTCAAGTAAAATAAAGGATTCACTGCACCAGAAAGGGTGTGTTTACAGATTTGAGCTCAAAGATCAATTTTCAGATGCTGCGATTAGAGAACGGTCAATTCGTAACCGCCACCGAGATCAGTCAACCCGTTCAACTCGGCACAACTGAGGATGGCCGTTTGGTGATCAGTAACTCACTGGGTCAAGATGAGAATTTGTTACGAGTGAGTTAGGTTACTGTATCTAAATATTTAAGGCTTTCAAAGACTTTTATAGCTCCAAATTTCTCCAGGAAATCATAATACCGTATTTATTCTTATTGAAGAGCTCTTTTAGATGAAATTTTTGATTTTTCTGATTTTTCAAACCTGAGATAACGCTTTTTCTTTTTCGTTTTTCTTTTCTTTCAATCTTTTAAAAATTTTTAAACAATTTGAAAGGCTTTCAAAGGGTTTAAAATGGTTTCAAAGACTTTCAAAGGCTTTCAAAGACTTTAAAAGGCTTTAAAAGGCTTTAAAGGGCTTTAAAAGACTTTAAAAGGCTTTAAAAGGCTTTCAAAGACTTTCAAAGGCTTTCAAAGACTTTAAAAGGCTTTCAAAGACTTTCAAAGGCTTTAAAAGGCTTTAAAGGGCTTTAAAAGACTTTAAAAGCCTTTTAAAACCTTCGAAAGCCTTTCAAAGACTTTCAAAGACTTTCAAAGGCTTTCAAAGACTTGCAAAGGCTTTAAAAGACTTGCAAAGGCTTTAAAAGGCTTTCAAAGGCTTTAAAGGGCTTTAAAAGACTTTAAAAGCCTTTAAAAGGCTTTCAAAGGCTTTCGAAGACTTTGAAAGTCTTTTAAAACCTTCGAAAGCCTTTGAAAGTCTTTGAAAGCCTTTAAAAGCCTTTCGAAGGCTTTAAAAGACTTTAAAAGACTTTCAAAGGCTTTCAAAGACTTTCAAAGGCTTCGAAGTCCTTAAAAGGCTTTCAAAGGCTTTCGAAGACTTTGAAAGTCTTTTAAAACCTTCGAAAGCCTTTGAAAGTCTTTAAAAGGCTTTTTAGGCAATAGTTTCAAAGGCAATAATATTCTTAGACTAAAAAAGCTTAATGAAAAAGCTTAATTAATGAAAATCGGCTGAAAAAGCAACAAAAACACCAATTTTGAGCTCTTGAAAAGTTGGGTATACTGTTAGGGCACGAAAAAGAATTTTAGAGGAATATTGAGAAATAAAAGAGAAAGAAAAATAAAGAGCCGACTCTTCTATTAGAATGTTTACGGCAATAACTAACATTATCTAAAGCCAAAACTCTTTCCAGGACTCGAACTCTTCCCATTTGATCATGGTTCCAACTAATGGCTTCAACTAAAGATCTTTATCTGTTTTTTATTTGAAATCTGCATATCTGTAAATAAATATTTATCTGATAAAGAGATTTTTTCGGATTTTTTCGATTTGCTTAAAGCAAACGAGGGTTTTCTTGGAGAAATTGAAAACTTTTTGCATTTACAAAGTTAGAAAACTTGAATTTAAAAGATTTAAAGCTAATATTAAAGCTATTAAAGCTAATTAAAGCTAACAAACTTATATTATAATATTACTGTAAAAATATTGGATATTTATATCAGATAACTTTTGATAATATAGAAATTTTCAGGATGCGTCGAAAAAGCGCAAAAAACGAGCCGCAGCCACGGTCGATTGTTTGCCAAATGCAGCACACTATTGTCAACGATTATCGAAATGTTTGTCTTTGATTTTGATTTGATTTGATTCAATGACTTCGATTTTCTTTTTTAACCCCAAATTTTTAGATCCAAATCTCGCAATTACTTGGTGATGAGGAAATCATTCTTGAAAATATGGTAAGTCTCATTCTTTGGACTCTGATATTCTTTGAACTCTGTGTTCTTTGGACTCTGTTCTTTGGACTCTGATGTACTTTGGACTCTGTTCTTTGGACTCTGATGTACTTTGGACTCTGGTACTTTGGACTCTGTTCTTTGGACTGTGTTCTTTGGACTCTGATGTTCTTTGGACTCTGATGTTCTTTGGACTCTGCTCTTTGGACTATGTTCTTTGGACTCTGATATTCTTTGGACTCTGATGTACATTGGACTCTGTTCTTTGGACTCTGCTCTTTGGACTCTGTTCTTTGGACTCTGATATTCTTTGGACTCTGATGTACATTGGACTCTGTTCTTTGGACTCTGCTCTTTGGACTCTGTTCTTTGGACTCTGATATTCTTTGGACTCTGATGTACTTTGGACTCTGTTCTTTGGACTCTGATGTTCTTTGGACTCTGATGTACATTGGACTCTGTTCTTTGGACTCTGCTCTTTGGACTGTTCTTTGGACTCTGATATTCTTTGGACTCTGTGTTCTTTGGACTCTGTCTTTGGACTCTGTGTACTTTGGACTCTGTTCTTAAACTCTGTGTTCGCTCCTGGTCCTTTCTGGCGCATTCAATTCCTCATTTTTCTTGTAAAAACGACTTGATTGCGCTAGAAAAATGAGGACTTCAGTGCACCAGAAGGGGTGTGTTTACAGATACACAACGTACACTTCTAGAGCAACGATCGAGCAAGAATGATTGGACAAAAAGAAATCGACGACGAGTACGACTATGTGATTGCAATGGTGCATAAGGGGACTGGTGAGGTAAGAAAAGAAAAATAAAACATCTAAAGCTACCGTAATCAAACAGTCAGTTCACTTGGCGACAACTTTTTAGAAGGACATTTTTTCCAAAAAAACTTCCCGTCACAAGTGTCACGTATTATACTGGCATAATTACCTGGACTCACTTCCACTGAGTCTAGCTCAGCCAAAATCAAACCAATCTCTGATTTTTCAGAGATTCTGAGCTCAGCTAAATTCTGACTAGTCTAGATGTCTGATCTAGTCTTGACTAGACTAGACTGACTAGAGTTTCCTGCAGCAGTGCTCAATATTTAGTCGATCGAAGTATCGAAGCTTTAGAGCCTATATCAAAACTTTTATCTAGGCTCTAAAAGATGAGAGTCGCGCTTCCGTTGGCACGCAATGACTTTTGGTATTTCTAACCACCATTCTTGCTGAATCATTCTGAATTTCATGCAACTTGGGTGCATTCCAACGGCCTTTTATGACTTAAAACTGTGTTTTTACAAAAAAAAATAATTACAAAGATAATTTAGCTGAGAAGTTAGCAACTATCTAACCTTACCAAATACTTTTTCACTCACCAATCCTTTTCTAAAATAATTAGACACCCAAGAAGAAGAATGCCAAGAAGAAGAATGTCAATAAGAAGAATGCTAAGAAGAAGAATGCTAAGAAGAAGAATGCTAAGAAGAAGAATGCTAAGAAGAAGAAGAATGTCAAGAAGAATGTCAAGAAGAATGTCAAGAAGAATACCAAGAAGATCGCGGCAATTTGATTTGGTAGATTTTATGTGTTTTATTTGAAAGAGAATTGATTAAGCTAAGTTTATACGGCACGAACAAAAAGCTTCGAAGACAATGGAGTAGAAGGGAGCCGAGGGAAACAAAACAAAACCATTTTAGAGATTTAAACAAGAAACAAAGCAGAACAAAACAAGGCAGAACAATATAAAGGAGGGAACGAACGAGGGGAAAGGGGTACTTTAAAAGCGCGCTACAAGAACATAATAAATTTTACGAAGGGAGAAAAAAATTAGCGAGACTCGGCATAGAAGCCGGACAACATTCATGATTCCATCGGAATTGTGAATGTTGCCGAAATCGGTATCGAATGCCGAAAAATGAAAAGAATGGCAAAAGGGGAGATTTTGTGCGGGATACGGTAGCGTATCCACCCTTTAGAAAGCGCGCCGCGCCGCTTTCGCGTCAGTCCCTTTAAATTGCACGTAAATAGGATTCTAACTGAGATTTTCCGCTTTCGAATACTATTTAATACGTGGTACTTGTGATGGAAAGTTTTTTTGGAAAAAACTGTTCTCCTAAAAAGTTGTCGCCATAATTCTGAACCATCCTGTAGAATCGATCAGCCCAATTTTGGGTTTATTCGTTGAGGAATCAGAAGGCTCAGTCAATGAAGTCAAAATTGGGCTGAGAACTAGCGGTTGGACGTAGCTTTACTGTAAAAGGTGTAGTTTAGGAAATGGGTTGGCTGAGAGTAAATGTTAAAATTGATCACAGGTTCAATTTCAACCAGCCGATCTCTACAATGTCGCTGCACAACCCGTCGAAGCGATCGAGGCTCGTGCTGCGAAACGGTACAATAAAGATATCAAACTTGTAGCTATTCAAAAACAAAGTTTAAAACTAAAGTCCAAAACTAAAGTCCAAAAAACTAATTCCAGCCGCTCCTCTCACGTATTCGAGGATCAAGAGCTCGAGAAAAAGGCAACAAAACGCATCTCACTCTCGCAAACTTTCGGTGACACGAAGAAGCTTAAAACGATGGACCAAATGGAGAAACGACAAGTGCAAGATGTTAGTCAATGCAATATAATAATATTGTCATTCTAACAAGGATCATTATGGATTTTTTTGAACTTTAACTGCTTCATTCTACTCAATTTGACCCTAATTTGAAGTCAATTTGACCTGAACCTCTCATTATTTTCTGCCTAATCCTTTGCAATGGCAAGGAACAAAGGAGAAGAAGAAAGTCAATGAAGATTGAAAAAAGTCAATGAAGATTGAACTAAAGTCTTCATTGACTTTTTTGAAAAGAAAATTCGAGTGCCGGGATCGAACCCTCGCCTTCGCCCTCGGTTTTTCGCCTCGTAGGGTAGCAACTTACCACTGCGCCACCGAGCAACCTGCAAAGCCAGGTTAATTTCGCATCATGAAGCCCCCAGCTCAATTTTTTTGGGGCCTTAGGCTTTTGGGGGTCAGCTCTTTTGGAGGCCAGCTTTTTGGAGGTCTTCATCATGCGAAGTTAAGCTGTCTTCACAGGTCACTCGATGGCAGAGTGGCAAGTTGCTACGTTACAAGGCGAACAACCAAGGGCGAAGGCTGGGGTTCGATCCCCGCCACGCAGGACTTTTGCTTTTCAGTCTTCATTGTCTTTTTAAGTTATTTCTCTTTTATAAATCAAAAATCAATTTTAAATTTATAAACAAAAACAAAAAGTTAACAACGATGAAATTCTCAACAGTTAAAGCAGTGTATATTTTCAGCAGGCTTGCAAAGGCTTTCAAAGACTTTCAAAGGCTTGCAAAGCCTTTCGAAGGCTTTAAAAGACTTTCAAAGGCTTTCAAAGACTTTCAAAAACCTTTGAAAGTCGGGAAAAGACTTGAAAGTATCTAAAAGACTAAAAATTTAAGGAAACAATGGTCGAAATGAAAGAAACAGCGCTCGCTTCGACGTCGGTGATCAAAAAAGAAGGGGAAAGCTTCTCGATTGATGGAATCACAGCCATTAGAACTGAGGTTTGGCAGAAGTTGGCACTTAAAAAATGCTAAAAACATTCAGCTTTGAGATTTTGAGAATTTGAGAATTTCAGGAAGTTTCCGATGTTTTACCCAAAGCTAATCTTGAAGTAATGTTTGGCAAAGACGTCTACCCAAGAGCACTTTTTGTCACCGATGAAGAGGTGAATTTAGAAGCACACGCTTTCTGGTGCACTGAAATTGATGGAGAGTTTCGTTTTTACTTCCACACACAATTCAGATGGAGAGTTTCGCTGATCTTTGTCAAAGCACGATGTCAAAAGGATACGATGAGTTCAACTATGAATGGAAAAATGAGACGAAAAATGGTGCGTTTTGAAAGCTTGAAAGCTTTTGAAAGTTTTCTCAAAAGTTTTGGCACAACTTTTTGTAAAAGCAGCAGTAAAAGCAGGCAAATGGCACGACCCATATACTGGCCGACGTAGAATTTTGCGCTGATTCTGAATCTATTTTCCATTTCTGCTATGGAGCACTCTGTCAAAAGTTATAAGCGTGCAAAGTTTTATACGAAATTTTACCATGTAAATCGGCTCACGGGGAGCCGAGAACTCGCGCGTACAGACAGACGAACGGACGGACACTTCCTTTTTATATATCCCAAAAGTTCTGGCACAATTTTTGTAAAAGCAGCTAGCAAATGTCGAATTTATTTCAAAAGTGGCAAGTGTTATTTAGAAATTTAAAGGCCAGAATCTTGGCTACATTTACAGACCGAAAGCTTTCGAATTCGAGTCACATAACTCATGTGACAAGTTTTTGAGTGAGCATTACTCGATCTCTTTCCGGCATGCTGCCATTTTTCACGATTTTCATTCAGAAAAGCTTCCTCAAAACAATTTTACATTTTTCTTGTTTAAAAAATGAAGTTTAATGAATTTATAGAGCTAGAGGGACTCCAAAGTGGCACTTCAAAAGATTTTCTCGACCGTGTTTTAACCAATAAAGCTAAAATTTCTTTAGAAAACCTTAGAATATATTGTAGTTGTGCCATTTAAAATAAAAAAAATCAAGAAATTCAAAAATTAAGTGGTACTACGGGGGGTCTAGGTGCTTCAAAAAGGGTAGTCGGTAGGCGAAAGGTCAGGCGAATATAGCGAGTGAGGCAAAGTTTCGTAGCTCAGTTCGTTCAGCTTTTGCAGGGTCGGTGGTGCGACGTGCGGACGAGCGTTGTCGTGGAGAAGAATTGGAAAAAAATTGGACCTTTTCTGTTGACCCATGCCGGGCACATTCGCCGCAATTTCTGGTGCATTTCGTCGATTTGTTGGCAGTACTTCCTCGCCGTAATCGTTTCGCCCGGATTCAGAAAGCTGTGATGGATGAGACCGGCTGCGGACCACCAAACAGTCACCATAACCTTAGTCACCATAACAGTCACCATAAGCCGTAGACAAGCCATAGACAAGCCATAGACAAGCTGTAGACAAGCCATAGACAAGCCATAGAGAAGCAGTAGACAAGCGCGTTCTCGACTGTGCCACGGCGACAAAAACTGTGCCTTAACAAAAACGCTATTAGAGGGATTTTTCAGCTGATTTCTTATAAGCACCCTGTTATTGACTATCGTTTTTTTGCTTTAATAAAACAACGATTCAGACTTCCCGCCATTTTACAAGCACTGGCTTGGCAGTAATGGCAAAGATTCGACAATTTGTACCCTTCGTTGCTTCTGTGCTGCAATGCTATATCTCATTAAAGTAAGCTCAATATTTACTCTAATCCAATGAAAAATTCGCATAATGTAGCCGATTGTCGTCTAGAAAATTGCTCTAAATTTCAGACGACCAAGGGTCGATCAAGTCTCTCAACTTTATCCACAAAGAACGGTCCATTTCCAATGATTATCCTCGAGACGATTCAGGATAAATATTTCAGTGAGTTCAATGGCTAATATATTTTTAAATCTATATGTCGTAGCCGTTTACGAAATTCAGCCGCTAACGAATGAGGGTATTTCCGGGCATCCAATCAGAAAGTCACCCACATAAAAAATGTTCATAATACATATATTTTATAATAAATTTTTGAAATTAACTCATTTGGTTTAGTAGAAAATTTTTTTGAGCCCCCAAAGTTTAGGTTCAAAAATGGCTATAAAAAATTTTCTACTCAGCCAAAAAACTTGCCTAATAGCTCATTTTGTAGCCAATTTGATGTAGTTTCTTAAAGTAAAGCCATCTAAAACAATTTTTCGTTGAAAGTAGGAGAAACAGGGCGAGGAACAAATTTGGGGCAATTCTCAAATGTGAAAACAGCGACCGAGTTCAACTGAAGTCGTTCCTCCCCCTCTTTCTCCTAGCTTTGAAAAACAAATGTTCAATGTAGCTTTACTTTAAGAAACTACATCAAATTGGCTACAAAATGAGCTATTAGGCAAGTTTTTTGGCTGAGTAGAAAATTTTTTATAGCCATTTTTGAACCTAAACTTTGGGGGCTCAAAAAAATTTTTCTACTGAACCAAATGAGTTAATTTCAAAAATTTATTATAAAATATATGTATTATGAACATTTTTTATGTGGATGACTTTTTGATTGGATGCCCGGAAATACCCTCATTCGTTAGCGGCTGAATTTCGTAAGCGGCTATATATCCATTGCTATATAATTTCTTTTAGAATCCGAAAAAACCCTCGCTCGAAACAAAGTGCTGACGGTGAACATCGGGAAAATGGAATGCGATCGTTTACTAGCTCATACAATCGCTTTCGCGCTAACAATCGGTAAAACCAAATCATTTCCTATCGATTAAATAGTGAAGAATGGAAAATGGGATACATCTGTATGCTACCGTAATCCTTAGTCTCTCTAAAGCATGTCCCAGCTACCGTAGCCCGGTCTACTCAATTCAATAACTCAATAACTCAAGTCAATAACTCAATAACTCAAGTCAATAACTCAATAACTCAATGACTCAAGTCAATAACGTCTATTTTAGATCCTGATAATCGAATTTATCCAGTGGAATGGTCGGCATTCACTCGTTTTTCCGCTCCAATCATTGACAAGATTGGCATGGCTCTTGGGGCTCATAAAGAAGCGATTCCAGTGGCACATAAACAACAAAGAGGGTAAGTTACAAGTTTCAGTGTTGTCTAAAAGCTGCCGTAATCCAACCAAAAGGAGGCTTTTGATTCTAAAAAGCGCTTGTTCATGTTAAATGAAACTGTATTTAGACAAAGTCGTCTTTTGATGAGTAGACAAAGTAGACTGTTTTCTAAAAGGCACTAAAAGCTAAAAGACACTAAAAGCTATCATAATCCACCCGAGTACAACAGCCTTTTATCGACGTCAGATTACGGTAGCTTTTTGTAGTATTACTGCTACATTAGTACTATAGTCTAGTCAGATTACGGTAGCTTTTCCACTGTACAATTCTACAGTACTCTATCTCACAGTAATCTATTCTTATTTTATTCTATTTAGCAACTATTCCCTTGTCCTCTCCGGCCCACCCAAGCCACTCGGTACTCCACGTGCGCGAAGAAAAAGAAAATAGAGTCAAAATAGAGTCAAAATAGAGTCAAAATAGAATCAAAATCGTTTCAAATCTTAGGATTTCAGAATCTTATCCTCTTTACTTGTTATTGTTAATTGTTAATAAAAGTTATAACCAATTATTGATTAAAAATTGCGACTACAATTGTTAAAATCCTCTAAATTTTCTGCTATTAGCAATAGCAGAAAAAAAAGACTAAAACAAAACGTTTCTAGACCTCAGTGCGTTTTCTAAAAGGTGGACCATTTGGGAAAGCATTTTTTTTGAAAGAAAAGATTATGATAGCTTTCTAAGTTGCCTACCATTTGGAAAACGGTCAGACTATAAAGTCAGACTACAAACGCTTGTAGAAACGCGTAGAATGGCTATTTATATACAGTTTTTGCCAAAAAATCGGAGGAAGCAAGGATGCTCAAGCAGAAGAACAAGCAACAAATGAAATCAACGATCATCTTGCTAATATTAGATGATAATGGCTATGATAGTGATGTGTCTATTGATGTTGTTAATTGATTTACCTGTTTCGTGAAGCTCTTCGAAAAGCTCTTCGAAGTCACGTCCATTGTTCAGATGTGCTGTTCGCGGAAAGAAGCAACAAAAATTTTCTCACCCAAATTACGCGCAACTTTCTTTCAAAACCACTTTTTTCAAAAACGCCCTCAAAGAAAATTCCAGGAGTTTTCCGAGAATCATTTTTAGAGTTGTGATATTTTCTTCTTTGTAAATTCAGCTACGCAATCGACAACTCATCCAAAAATGCCCACTTGGGGCCAACTTTTCGAATATTTTTCCTTTTCTTTATATTCTCTTGTCGAATACTCGATTTGGACGAGTAAAAGTAAAACTTTTCACTCACCATTTTACACCATATTTCTGGCTATAGGTGGGTGATTTTCTAGCATTCCCCAGCTATCGTAATCCATAAATCTCTATATCTTTATAATCTTACTCTATCTCTTCATTAGTTACTGTAGCCAAGTATTTAGGTACTGTAAATCTGGGTATTAATTGGACATGGTGTACGGTAATGAATAGCAATGCGTTAGAATTATAATAGTTCTTTTCGTCTACTATTTCTAAATTTATTACGGTGACCCGGGGACATTTGATATTTGATCGAGCATTTGATAAGCGCGCTTTCCCTTTTGTCATTGACAATCTAACTTTAAGCTCAAATTTCTTGGCGTTAAATATTCTTGATATGATAAGATGCGCTAGGTCTTTCTCCGTCGATTGGTACAAAAAATATTGATCTAATGATACCAATAATATTTAAATTCGTCAGCCCAACACCAAGAAATTTGAGCTCAAAGTTAGCTTGCCAATGACATTTTTATATACTATGAATTTTCATTAAAGTCGATCGTAAATCTAGAATTTGAGGCATGTTGGATTTGATCTCTTTCCCCTTCTACCAGATTCGTCCTTTTTTCAATAGCTGGCCACCAGGGCGAACGATTAATGGATTTTTTACAAAGGTGAGCGGGCTACAGTAAGCTTTTAACTATACTATAGCTGTTTGAGGATCCTTTAAACGACAGTACTCCATTGCACTTTAGATTTTCCGTGACGGTCATTATTATTTGGATGTGGTCATGTCGGCGAATCGGCTCACCATTGTGCTTTTGCCAACCGAGCACACGAGGGTACTGTAGTTTGAAATTTAAATAAAGCTACAGCTAAAGCACTCATTCATTTACTCTAACTTCTCCAAAATTTCCTTAAAACTTTAGATCTGGCAATCGCACAATTTACGACGAGCGATCGCTTTCTGCGTTTTTCTCATGTTTTTCGCGCAAAGCTACACGATTGTTTTCATATTTTTGTACGGATGGAAAAACGAGAAAATGGGCTACTCGCAAGTGATCGATTTTGATGCGGTGAGTTCACAAATTTGGTCTAAAAGTATGAAATGTCGCTGGTTTTTTAAAAGAATACATTTATTTACAAGAGTAATTTGGTAAAAACAATATACAAGGCCTAGGCCCTAAGCCCTAAATTTAGGGAAAAACACATAGATATCAGAAAAGAGAATCAATAATCTATTCGAGAGTTGAGAATAATCTATGGGCTAAGAAATAGTACTGTACTGTAGTGCTGTAGAAATAGTACTGTAGCCTGGATATTTAAATAGCTCAATGAGCCTAAGCACTGAGGTATTTACTTAGCAAATTTGCTTTCATTTTTGCAGTGGAATCGTTTCTACTATGCTCTCCAATTGATCATTGCCACCGTTTCGTGTTTTGTAATGAACGTGATCACACTCTGGAAAATGAGGTTAGTGAGAGATTATCGAACATTCGATACAAGTCCCGTCCCTTTTGCCATTGGCAATATAACTTTGAGCTCAAATTCTTTGGTGTTGGGCTGTTTAATTTAAAGATTCTTGGTATCATTAGATGCACCAAGTCTTTCTCTGTCGATTGGTACAAAAACTATTTCAATTGGAGAAGCCGAACACCAAGAAATTTGAGCTCAAAGTTAGATTGCCAATGGCAAATGGGGTGGAGCCTCGCGTATAAAAGGGCTGACAATCGCCCCGACCCTTTTGCCATTGGCAATATAACTTTGAGCTCAAATATCTTGGTGTTTGGCTGTCGAATTTCAATAATTTCGGTATCATTGGATGCGCCAAGGCTTTCTCTGTCGATTGGTATAAAAACTATTTAAATTGGACAACCCAACACCAAGATATTTGAGGCCAAAGCTGAATTGCCAATGGCAAAGGAGGCGGGGCGCCTTTTATACGCCCAACCTCTTTTATACGCGAGGCTCCGCCCCCTTTGCCTTTGGCAATCTAACTTTGAGCTCAAATATCTTGGTGTTTGGCTGTTCAATTTGAATATTCTTGGTATCAATCGATAGAGAAAGACTTGACGCATCGAATGATACCAAGTATATTTAAAATCGGCAGCCCACCACCAAGAAATTTGAGCTTAAAGTTAGGTTGCCAATGGCAAAGGGGCGGGGTCCAATGACCCACAATCAAATTGAACAGCTGCCAAGAAACCCTTCTTTGCAAAGAAATGGGAGTTTTTCTGTCTTCCCATAGCTATACAGCGCAAAGATCACCCAAAAGCATGATCCGGTAGTTCACACGGAAATTTGTGCAACGAGAAAATATTGAAACGAAAGTATTACAGTAGACATAAATTTTAAGCGGATCAAGTACAAATCCGTTAGTCATAGCTGAATATCTTGAATCTCTTTACATTAAAACTCGCTAGTTTTTCTGTGTGTTACGAACAGCATGAATCGTCTGAAATCTCGGGATTATGTAGACGCATGTAGCTTGTAGCTTTGTAAAAACTTAGCTTAAGTTAAGCACGATAGTTGTTCGTCTTGAATAAAAGTTCTAAAAAGTTGCGTTTCTAAAAGTTGCGCTTTACCGTAAACCCCGTGACCCTTAGCTTTCATTATCTAAAATCTAAAATCTACTATCTAACATACAGTACTGGACAATGAAATATCATTTTTGAAAAACGATCGTCACCTTCGCGCGTCTGTAATTCACTTGTCTTTGAGTTTAAACTATTAGTGTTATACATTTTCTGAAAGCTCTTTTCAAGGACTACACAATGGTAATATTAATATTTAGAGATACGGCAAAGAAAAGGGAGCTACAGACGCGCGAAAGTGCGAAAGTGTTTTTTCAAATATGATATTTCATTGTCCAGTAGTGTATCTATTATAATAATCTTCATATCTATTATAATAATTTCTTCATTTCCTTTAGAAACATCAATAGTCAGGGTCAATGGAGCCTTTTGGGTATCTCTCTCATCAGCACTCTCCTCGCCATTCCACCGACCATCTATCAGGTTTCACTTTCGCACGTATCTTCATGTTTGTAGCCAATTCCTAGAAACTTCGAGTAGCTTTTTTTGTGCTCTACACGAAAGAAACACAAATTTCTTATTCGTGAATGTTCTAAATTCTAATCTGACAAACGGAAACAGAAAAAATCGCAAAATTATTCTACTTTTTGTGGATGCGCTTCATTATGGGTAATTATGACACACCCTGGATACCTTATGTTTCGTATTGCCACATTGCCAACAAGTTAGTATGCATTGCCAACCGTATGGCCAACAAGTTTATATGCAAGCTCTTTGACATCTTACTTCATTGAATTTTAGCATATTTTTTCCTAGTTTTGAGATGATTTTGAATAGATTTAAGTCAGACCTAGTGAATATAAACCCAACAAAGTCATTTATACTATTTTCCCATAATACCAAACTAGAATCATGTCCGGGGAAATTAGCATTTATCCTGTTTTCGTTGGCGTGGGGAAAAAAGATTGCGGAAGTGTCCATATTTTTCACTTTCAGAGTCTAATGGCCTACACGGCTTTCGCGGACAATCCCACACTCGAAAGCGCTGTTTTCAATTCAATGGTAAGTTTCAAAAAAATCTCTTGCTTTCTTACAAAATATAGAGAAGGTGTAAAACTTTGTAAATGTTCGATCATAGTTTGGTTGACAAGAAAGTCTTTGGAACGATTTGAACTGAAATTTCTTAAAAACGAATCCACCAATTCACTTTGTTCTATTGGGTTGGTGCATTGAAAACTGCCGACTATTTCGCGGGACTCGCAGATAAAGAAAAGAACACCATTGAACCAGTTGAAAGGGGGGTTTGTTTACTTTAACATTTCCTCTAATTATTGAGAAAAATTATGCTTATTTTTTGGTATTTGCTTCACTTCTTCTATTGCACTTGACAATCTGCCACCGGGACATATTCGTCATGTCATGCTTCATGAGTTCCTACAAGAGCACAGGCTTGGCAGCTGCTAATATTTAAAAGATATATGGAGAGGCCACACCTTCCAAAAGAACGTGCCAAGTATGGTTTGCCAAGTTTCGTTCTGGGGACAAATCTTTGAAAGAAACAGAGGGCCGTAGAGCGGCACCCCAATTGGATGATTCCAAATTACTCGAACTCATTACCAACGACCATCGGGTGTCATCGCGTGAATTGGGAGAAGAGCTAGGGGTTGATCTTGCTACAGTGCTAAGGCACCTGCATACCCTTGGATTTAAATCGAAACTTGGGGCTTGGGTGCCCCATGACCTCACTGACCCCCAGAAGTGGTAGTGCGCCTCGATCAGTGCCGCCCATCTCTCACAATACGAAAGGAAATCTTTTCTTCCTCGAATTGTGACAGGAGATGAGAAATGGGTTTTATCTGTGAACTTTTGGAGGAAGCGGCAATGCGTGGGGTCAGGTGAGAAACCCGAAAGTGACCACAAGCCCGATTTGCACCAGAAGAAGCTTATGCTCTGCGTTTTCTGGGATATGGAGGGAGTGGTGTACTGGGAGTTGCTGGATAGCAAAAAGATCCTTGATTCAATCAAATGCAGTGAACAGTTGGAAAAGATGAATAAATCCCCAAAGAAGAATGGGCCCTCCAAGTTAAAGATCGTTCCACGACAACGTTCCACCACGACAACGCGCGCCCTCATGTTGCAAAACTGACTCGCTCTAAAATAAGCAGCCTTGGTTGGGAATTTTTGGCGCATCCCGCTTACAGTCCGGACCTCGCCCCTTTTGATTACTATTTATTCCGGACTATGAGTAATGAGCTTGCGGGAGAACACTTCGATCTGGAAGAAGGAGTCAAAAATTGGCTCCAAAAGTTTTTCGTTTCAAAACCAAAATCCTACGACGAAAGAGAAATCCGCAAATTGCCTGTAAAATGGGCAGAAGTCGTCAATAATAATGAATTATTTGGAAATTATTTGGAATGATGGCTTTATTCGGATGTTGAATAAATATTGGTTTAAAGTCCCGCAGTTTTCAATGCACCAACCCAATATTATTTACAAGTCGACGCCAAGAAAAGTATTAGTGTCATATTCTTGTCAATGATTTCTGAGCGTTGGCGCAGACAACTCAAATTCCCAATTCTTACTAGAGCTATCTCCTAAATTGCGATTTTGGATTGTAGTCAACTATTAGACAGATTAATCATCGATTACCCTTTTTTCTACCCACTTTTTTCTACTCAATATATGTTTCTACATATGACTTTCTCACGGTTCTAACCATTTCAAAACCCAAAAGCTAGACTTGTTTGAATTTCTGTATCAAGAAAGAGAAGACGTACTTTAGAAATAGAATACCGTTATTCATGGATATTAAAGGATTCGAAAAAAGACTATAGTAAAAAGGGATTACGGTAGTTGTAGCTCGGCTGAGGCTGAGAATATATTGACTGCCTAATCTAGTACCCTTTCCAGAGCTCCTGGGTTTTCTCCTTTGCTGGTTACTATCAACCGTACTGGTTACTGGCTGTCTCGAGTGAGTCAAGACGGGAAATCTTTCGTTATTTCCGTCGCTTCTTGGCTCAACACGGCCATCCGCAAATCGCGACAAACTCAAAGAATCTCCAAAAAACATCATCGAATCTGAATTCAAGAGTTGTCGTCGACTCTCAGTCAACGATGAAAGTCGGATGACAAAAGTTGAGATGTTTTTATCGAATTGTGCAAATTGTATGATAAATCTTTTGAATTTTTAAACTTTTCTTTAAAAATCAACTCAAAATGATAGCTGGTTTAGCTTCAAATTTTAAGCAACTCTATCGTTATTTAGGGTAATTTTTGAAGGAAAAAAGCAAACTCAGGAAAAAGAACCCGCAGCAAAAGCGCAAACAGCACGTTTTTAAAAGACATTTTTTGGGCATACGGCAGATTATCCCCGATTTCGAATCCAGTGCCGCCAAGGAGACTCTCGATAGCAAAAAAAGGATCCTCTACAAGGATTGCATAAAGAAAAATCTTGAAAACAACAAAAAACTTGAAAAAAACGGTCAAAAAACGGTCAAAAAATGCGTTTAATAATTTCTCGGGGTAGGCTAGTTTCCGCAATTTTTTTTGCGCGATAGGGTCATTTGCGCAACTGGGTCGTTTGCGCAACTCGCCATAACTTTGTGGCCATAACAGAAAGTTGTGGCACTCCACCGCAGCACTACACTCCAAGTAGCCACCCCCGAATCTAGTACCGTTTCTTTCTTCTAAGTGGACCAATCTTTATGATTTTGGTTTCATTTTGTAGATCTCAATAAGTGTAACAAAATGAGTCCAAAACCATAAAGATTGGCCCACCTAGACGACATAAACAAACATAATCTTTCTTTGTTCTTCGACAGCGGCTCCATTTCAAAGCTCCATTTAATCACTACTCTTCCAGCAAACAAGTGAGCGTAATTAGTTGTCTGGTGACCGAGATTACGAGTCCATGCAACAACGATAAGGTGCCGAAGTTTATCACCTGGGAGATAAGGCACTATATTTTTATGTAAAGAAATCAATTGTTTTTTAAAATGAAATATACAAATGAGTTTTTAAAAAATTTATGTCCCGATCTTTGGGGTTAACATGAAAAACGAACAACACAAATCATCCTTTAATCATGTTCCGATCACTTAACAAATCATGTCCCGATCACTACTCTGTTACAAAATAAATAGTCACTTGGCTTTGATTTGAAGAACAAGGACGAGGCTTTAGTGAACGAGATGAAACAGGAACCTGAAAAACCAAAAATTCTGATTCATATCAATATGGATTTTAAATTAAATTTAATTAAATATTTTGTCATTTCTAAATCAATTATTAAAATAATAAAAGGATTTTCGCAAAATGTAGAGGTTCAAATTAAAAACCAAATTAAATTAAAAATTAAATTAGAAACATACCGAAAGCCTCGGCTCATTGGTCCTTTGAAAACCCTCTTGTTGAAGGCGGTAACCATTGAAACACTCCGAAGATGCGGTCACCAACTCCACGAACACATCCACCTCGGCCAAGTCCACAAACACGCCCGCTGCAGGGCCGCCTCCTCCACGTCCCCGAAACACTTGTCCAGCGTTTTGATTGGAAGGACTCTAAAATTCAACAATTGTAAGAGGTGATTCAAGAACTATAGTCTCTAATTTGTAAAAGGATACCAAACAAAAACAAAAGCACTAACTTGCAGCATCACATTCTTCACGAGGTATTTAGCTCTTCCGGCCTTGAACGCACCGAAACCTGTCGGATTGTATTCATACGTGCGATTGGCGCCTGGAGGATAGGCGAATCGATAGACAGTGCCACTCCGAGGATGAGCAATCTCTAAATATCCTCCGGGGAAGGAAATCTCGAGAGGATGAGCCCTTTCTTCGATGAACATGAGAACTGCACCACGCGATTGCAGGTTTTGATCCTGGCTGGCGTCATCCGATTCATCGTCACTTGCATCGTCGTCTCCCGAATCGGATGTCATACTTTCCGATGAATCGCATTTGACAGCACGTGACTAAAAACTGATTTCGTGAAGCATGAGAAAATATAAAGGCATACTCTGCAAAAACCAAAATCAAATGATAATCATTTAGGAATTTTGCAGATAAATCATTTCAAAATCCAACCTGCTGATAGCCAGCAACACTTGCTAGCTTTTCCACAAATTGAGCAAACATGAGCATGTCTTCAAAGTTTGTCGTGACATCTACGGGAATTCCATGCCAAACACCTTGATTGTGGCACTGAAAGTTCATGATGAAACTATTTCTCCTCAGATCTTCATTTAACCGAATTAAAAAGAAATGATTTGCCACTAAAAATTATAATTTTTCGGATGGAGTCGGCAATTTAAAGCTTTCTCCTGTTGTCTTATAATCAAGAGTCAATTATATCGTCTCATTTATATTAAACTTTGAATTATTAGATAGAGAAATAAAAAGGCGACCTGAAGCAACATTCCTGGGAAACAGAGCAGCGTGTTACCCAAAGCCTTGATGAAGAATTTTCGATCCTGGTAATTGATCGCGTATCCAAAACGAAAAGTCTTGGTCCCATAGACTACTTCCAAATGGTCCGGTTCCACTTTGAAAGAATCGAAATCCTTCGAAAAACGAAGTTCAGGTAGCATCTCGTCAGAACTAAATAATGAAAGTGAAGCATTGAAAGCAAAGAGAAAACACAGATTGAGTCAAGAAATCAAAATGAAAGGTATGTGATTTCCTCAGTGCCAAGAAGGTGACACCAAAAAATGTTTATTTTACAGCTTACAGCTTCTTTACAGCTTCTTTGTTGGCCAAAAATAGGGATTATAGAGCGTATTGCTCATTTATTCTAGCTTTATCTTTATCTCAGGTCAGCTCCGAGCCAAACTGATATTTTAGTTACTATTATTATTATTGAATGATTTGTCTAGTCTTATGTAAATGTGTTCTCCCCTGTGCTTATTCCTTTCATCGCCGAGAAGAGGTGGTCCTTGGGATTGCCTAGGAGGACAAGTGGACTCAAGTGGGACAAGATACTCTCACTTGAAGTCCCCCCTTTCCCTTTCACTCATTTGTAATCTATTCGTCTTATTATACTACTGTAAATAAAGATACATATTTTCCGGGTCTATACAACTGCAGTACAGGTCGGTCATTTCACAGGGACTCCCCTCTAATACGTTGGAGGAGTTGAGTCAGGTTGTCGGGGTGTCAAAGAGATGGCAGGCATCAAAAGGAATCCACTCTCTCTAACTTAACCCAAATTCTAGCCCAGATCCGTTTACACCTAGGAAAGAATAATATTAACTCTAAGTTGCCTTCACGATGTCAGTAGAAAGTTTCAATTTTATGGGAAAAATCTTATGGTGGTGAGCTTTATGGTAGTGGCAGCCTTGGGCTTAGAAATTTCATGTATAGGAAGCCAGGAAATTGGGAAGAAGTGAAAAAAAGATGAAAAAGTTGCCCGCTGAAAATATTCACTTTGGCATTGTTGTAATGCCGCCAGAAGCCACCAGAAGCCACTAGAAGCCACCAGAAGCCACCAGAAGCCACCAGAAGACACCAGAAGCCACTAGAAGCCACCAGAAGCCACCAGAAGCCACCAGAAGCCACTAGAAATTCTCCGAAAAATCGCGCTGAACTGACTTTTTTTTGGAACACCCTGTATTTGAGATCTAGTAGTAAAATTTAAGCTTTTTCAAAATACTCTAGCAATACTCTAGAGAAAAACACACAATGTGCGTTTCGCCGGCCTCGACTCGACCTGCGGGTAGATACCATCTGAAAGTGAAAAGGATAACAGTTTAAAATAATAGAAGCAAATGTTCTTGAATTGGTGGATTCGTTTTTAAGGAATTCCAGTCAAACTTTTTCCGTGAACTTCCTTTCCAACCTAATACATCTCTTTAGCTACCGCACTTGACAGGAGAAAATCTTCTTTTTTATAGCAAAAAGACCTCTCTATCCGAACTTTGTTGTTCAATGACTCAACGAAGCCTTCGAGAAAAGAATTCGTGCTATATGGGTTACTCACGGGAGATAAAGTCAGAAGTGGAAAGAGAAATTTTTGATAAGAGTCTTTTCATTCTTCAGTGCCTACTTGAAGCGGCACAAAATGATTATGCTAAGTAATTTCGGCTATAAATTGAAGTGTTCAAACACATTTCTATTTTTTATTTACCAGAACACTTTTACACTTTTACTCTTTTTCATGTGTATACCTGGAGTTGTTATTTCATTGTTATCGTCTTTCTTTGTTCTATTTGGCTTTAAAAACAGTGACCTCTTTATACAGGGTGACCAGAAATAACGTTGCGGAATTTTCGGCAGCCTAAATTCCTCAAAGTTTCAATTTTGGGAGACAAATTTATTTTTAACCTATTCTCTGTGATTGTTTTTATTAGTTTTTTTGTTGCTTTACTTTGTTTCAAGTCTATTCATTTTTTTATAGGATGACAAACAAGGGATCTGCCATTCTGGAGCTTCATCATCAAGGTCAATGCGTGAGTGTGATCGCGCGATTGCTACGTGTTTCCCATCAGCTCGTCTCAAAAGCGATTAAGCGATACAAGGAGCGTGGCAGCGATGGAGATCGTCCAGGAAGAGGCAGAAAAAGAACAGTCAACACCTCCAGAAAGGGCAAAGTGATTCAGAAGCACGTGGCCCGGAATCCACAGGTCTCAATAAGAAAGATCGCTCGACAGACGGGAATCGCTCGCGAATCGGTTCGACTTATGGCCAAAAATGAGCTCAATCTTCGCCCTTACAAGCTCAAGGAAGGGCAACAACTCGACGACGACAACAAACGAGTTCGATTCGAACGATGTCGAGAGCTTCTCAAGCGGGCCGCAACTCCACACTGGGAGCGACTCCTGTTTTCTGACGAGAAGCTCTTCTCGGTGGAGCAAAGCTACAACCACCAAAACGATCGGATTTGCTCAACGTCCTCTCCAGGCAGCTCTGCGATTGTTCAACACTGACAAAATCCCAAATTGGTCATGGTATGGGCCGGAATCTGCGCAACCGGCAAAACTCCTCTCATTTTCATCGATTCTGGGGTAAAAATCAATAAGGATGTGTACCAAAAAAAGATTCTTGAGGATGTTTTGCTTCCATGGGCTCAACAGCATTTTGGTAACGGATTTTGGACCTTCCAAAAAGACTCCGCGCCTTCTCAGACTCCGC